ATAAAAACGGTGTTGGCAAATGCGGAAGCAATATATAAAACGCAGAAATAAAAGCGTAAATAAAATGCACACCGATTTTATACTGGTTCGGGAACTCCCTACTCCAGTACCTCGAGGCTCCTCCTCAAGGATTTCCGAATCCACTAAGTTCCGGCCTCTTGAACTCCGTCAAAGCACCGCACTAGTTTGGCAAACAACCCTTGCCAATAGGATTCACTCCGAGATTTCACCACGGCTATCTCGAACCGTTTACAATGAAGATTTAACGGCTATCTTCTACCGCTCCCCCAAGGATTTCAACGGCTATCCTTGAACCTTTACCCAAGGATTTATACGGCTATCCTTGACCGTTACAATGTGAGAATTTAACGGCTATTCTCGACCGTAAGAAGGTGTGTTTGAAGAACACGAAATATGATTCTACACAACGGCTAGAATATAAAAATGAAGAACAAAACTTAGCCGGTGTAGAAAGAAAGTATACTCTCTCAAAAATACAATTCAAACTTATGAATATGAGAGTATATAACTAGAAACACAAGCTCAAAGTGTGTGTATAAAAATCAGAAATTTAAGGTTCTTAAAATAGCCAAAATATTGAAAATAATTAATAGAAGGATGAACACACTTGAAATAAAAAGAGAGGATGTTTAAAGCTTTGTTTCTTGTTAAAACATGAAGTATTAGGCCTATATTTATAGTGGAAGATGTTAATTAGCCGTTAGGAGGTGATTAGAGTTGAATTAATTCAAAAATCAGCAATCAGGAATAGTGTTCCAACAGTAACGGTACCCTGTCACGGTAGCTAGGTCCCGTACGGTAGCTAGGTTTTCTTCTCAGGCCAAAACTCTCTGGCGGTACCTATACACGGTACCTATACACGGTAGGGGGGGTCCCGTCCATACGGTAGGGGGGTCCCGTATCAGATTAACTCACGGTACCCCTTACGGTACCCCTCACGGTACCTAGGTACCTTATGACCATTTTGACAATTTTTTCATTTTTGTCCAAATCATTTCCAATTTTGTTTAAAACCTTTTGAATGTTTGAAAATGATTATAAAAGGGTTTTAAACATATTTTGTGAGTGTTTTTGACGAACACTTATATCCATATATTTTAGTATAGGAATGTAGCCAAAGTACCTAAATTCTACGCTAGTTTAGTGTTTCGACTTCATTCTTGAGAACCGAATCTTAATGGATTCTTGTTGTACCTGAAACACTTAAACAAACGTCAAGCTCTTATATTGTTTGTTAACATCAAAACATGAGGCTTAGCAAACCAAGGCTAACATGGAGTACTTTTTTGTTTTGAAAGTTTTTTTTAAAAAAGTCTCCATCTTATAAATAAAATTCTTAATTATTGCATAATGGTTTCACTTTTGATACTTGGTTCCTAAACGATTTTTGGTTTTCACTTTTTTTTCATTCTAAAAAGTTTTTCAAAAAATTTTTTAATTTAATGGGGACTAAAAAAATATCTAATAAATTTTAATTAATGACACTGAAGTTTCAAATCGTTAGAAGAAATAAGTATTTACAAGATTAAACTTGAATAATTAATTGTTTGGATGGGTTAGTTAGCTAATTTTATTTCAGTTAGCACCATTTATAATTTTCAATGGTTTTCTTCCCTATCATTTAAAAGTACCCTACAGTGGCCGCCACTTTGCATAACATCACTTTCCATGGTTCGAGTCTTAACGTCACTGTCACTAAATACGCATCAGAAGTCGACCAATGGATTACCGCCACCGTCTTCTACCTCCTCCGCGGCGTTGGACTCTCCAACCTCCTCCTCGTCGGCCTCGACGTCGAGTGGCACCCTAAGCCATGGGAGGAGACCAACCCCGTCGCCACCCTCCAATGGTGCATAGGGAAAAATTACTTGATTTTCCAGATTCTAAAAAGGGACTTCATGCCTTGTTCCTCCGTACAAGAAGATACCGAAAAGCTCTTCTGGGATCCCGGTTGTGTCGTGACTAGGGTTCTGGATTTGTCAGTGGGCCGAGATCAAAGGATAGAGTGTCGGGTAAAATTAGCCACTTGCATATAAAGTCGGAATCCACGTTTCTAACCCCAAATGCTTAAGCTGATAGGTATGAGTTTACCCTTCTATATATGCTAGTGATATCCATCGTTATTTGGTGATAAATGGATTACTTTTGCTTAAAACTAATAAGTGAAATCATTTTAAGACATAAATGGATTATTTTGCACAGACCGAGTAAAAAAATTACGAGTCTATAGAGGAAAAAAATATGTCACCTCTAGAAGTATCGTCTCAATTACTATTCTAGCATCTCGATAATTTTTATTAATTTGTGTGCTTCTATTAATTATTTCATTTAAAAAATTAATTTTATCACATCTTATTTTATTAAACTTTTTATCCAGTTTTGAAATATGTAATTTAAAATTTAAATTTATTTCTATAAAAATTTATAAATAAAATAACTTTAAAGAGATGATATATTGCGCGTTATTCAAGGTTGGACGATATAGTTTGAAACGTAGAGACTAATTTTTAGACATTCAAGAAAAGTGTAAAATTAATTTCGAGATGGGGTGTTTTTGTTAAACATTATAAAATCAGAAGAAGAAGACCTAGAGACTACGATGTTAGGCCACATTCTCTTAAACTTATTTCTTTTTACTTATTACTTATTCGTATTGAAATCAAATCAGATCAGAAACACATTTAAATATAACTACATTCCGATTAGATCGGATAAGAACTTATTTCAATCAAATCAGAACCATTTACATGAGGTGATGAGAACATCGTCTTACAAGACAATAGTCATATTCTTGCTAAGTCTCTTCTTATTCTCCAACCTACGGAGTATATCCCTCAACATCAACCAAATAAAGAATTTATGCTTTGCCAAATAAAGTTCATCCACAATTAGTAGGAAATTTAAAATTTATGCTTTGCCAAATAAAGTTCATCCACGATTTAAAATTTAAGATTTAACATTAAATATGTCAGATTTAAATTTAAAATTCAAATAGTACAATTCTATATCAATTCTATATTTAATTTGAGTTCTCAAACAAAAGATTTGGAATTACTATACAGTTCTATATCAATTCTTTAATTATACTCCAATTAACAAAGGATTTGGAATTGAATTAGAATTTAATTCCATATTTCCATCCAATTCAATTTCATAAAATTTTAATTCCAATTCAATTTCAATTCTGTTAATCCAACGAGCCAAAGCAAGTATAATGGTGTTTTTTGTTAGAGAATATTTCTAATCACTTATGTATGCCAGAGTTGATTTCTTAGAGTATTTTATTTGACACATTGAGTATTCCAAAATAAATTCCAAACAATCAATTTCTCTATAATAGATAACAATCACAATTATCTATACTTGTCTCCATGCCTATTGAACACTTAAATTATAAGCTAACTTAGAACGTAGTGTTCCCTCCTTCCCAAATTAAATTATCTGTTTATTATTCACAAAGTAAAACTTCATTCATTTTTTTCTCTATTTTCGTTAGTCATTTGGTAAAATAATATAAACATGTTACCAATAGTTTTGAAAATCTTCTGATGTACTCCCTCCGTACCCCTAAGATGTTCTCATTTTGACTTTTGGTGATTTTTAAGGAGAGTTGAAAAAGGTAAAAGTTTACCAGAATACCCCTAATGAAAATGGATGAAGTGTATTAAATGAGGTGAGTGAGTTGTAATAAATAAAGTAAGTGGGGGTAGTTGTGGTATTTTAATTGTTAAAAAATGAAATGAGAAAATCTATTGTGGACAAAGAAAAAAGGCTATTAGGAAGATCTATGAGGAACGGAAGGAGTAATTTTTAAATATGTAATTTTTACTTTTAAATTCTGTACCATTTTTCATATAAATGATTTAAAAATAATTTCAATCAAACATCGTAAACCGAAATAGATGATTTGAATTGAAACGGAGGGAATACCGAACACAACCTTAATATAAACATCCACAATTTTGTATCTTTATTGTATGCCTCACAGAATCTTTATTACTGTTTCTTTTCATGAAAACAAATAATATATCCATATATACAACAGAGGAATGCATGATAATGAATGCCACCAAAACCCTTAAATTCTCTCTATGATTAAGAATTTATGATTAGGCTACTTTGACTACAATAAAACAATTACAATATATGTGAAAAAGTTTTTCCAAAACTGATCTCCCAAAACATCCAAAAATAATTTGACCACGGTAAATTCTTTCTCATCTTCTTCCTACTCCGGCCACATTTCAGTTCACCCGGATGCTCCTGCAGCAGCACGCTTATCATCTTCTCGTTCTTCTTCTTTTGCAAACTCCTCGATTAATTTGCGCTGCTTCTCTGTCAAATTTCTGTACAAAAAATGCGAGGTTCTGGCATAAGGACTTGTTTGGTTGGGGAGGATTGTCGTGTACTCGTGTGTTATTACTAGTCTTATGGTAGAAAATAACTACTAATGTGTGTAGCTAAATAGGGTGATTTTTATAAGTTTGCATCTTCGCCTTCTTTCGAACAAAGAGTCATCCTAGAAACCCACAAAGTTTGACATCAAGTGTTACACAAGACATTAAAGTCATTCTCTGTCACGCACTGACAACCAGCCAGTCAGACAGTGAGTCATTGTGTATACATATTGGTGAAAAGCAAAGGAGCAATGCTAGGATGACTCTAGTTTATTTATTAAATAAATAAAAATTAAATAAGAATGAGTGGTGGAGGAGGGGGTGGGGGACAAATGGAGTACCCCTAGCATTTTTCAAAGCATAGTGTCAAACTTGGTGGGTTTCTAGCTTTTTTGTTCAACTAACAGTAAATGCAGATATTATTGACTTAGGCATACTGATGGGAAGTGGGGAGGGGGCGGGGGGGGTGTGTGTGAATTTTACTCTTCAAACATACGTTGGAATGCCGACTTTGAAGTGAACAAACTGATCCCCGAATGAATATGAATTCCTTGCTTTTATCCCTGCACCCCATCACAACAAAAGTATTAATTTATTTCAAAATCACGGTATCTATTTCCTATGATGCAAACAAAGCATCGTTATACATAGCATCTATTTTTCTGCTTGTGCAATCGCGTGCATGACAGACAATAAAGTGTCATAGAAAATGTTCTGCTGTTAATACCTTTCTTTTTTAGTACAACTTTTTGTCCAGGTTGAGTGCCAGGGCGAACCTGCAAACAGGTCACCAATAAATTTGTTGATGAAAATAAGAAAGAAAATTAAGAAAAACAAAAAACACATCAATCATTCAACATTTGTCAGAAGGATGACTACGAATGGTGGGATTCACAACGGGTTATAATTTTGTTACCTTGTGAGTTGCCATCTATATTTACATTAAGACTTACATAGATGATGATGTTGAACAAGATTGAATTGAGTAGATAAACAAAAATGTTGTGTTAAGAGATGCCGACAAACCTTGACAACAACATCTCCTGTCAGAGTTGGAACTTGTGTTGTTCCTCCCAAAATGGCCTGGAAAAGCAAGGTTTCATAAAATCAAGTTAACGCAAAAAACTAGCCTCTGAATAAATGCAACTTCTAAAGAGTTCACAACCTCGCCTCTTATCATTAACACAGCCATAAAAAAGTACGCCGTAATGGTCAAACTCCATTTAAATGGAATTTGAAGCCATAAGGAACCTTAGAATCACTTAAGAGATTATGGTATTGTGATGTTCAACTTTTTCTTTTTGCTCATTACTTTTATTTTAGAGTGAATTCCCAAAATGGTACTTTATATTAGGGTGTTTTCCCAAATCAGTCTTCAAATCTCAATTATAATTTCACCCCAACTGTCGGAGGACTATCGTGAGAAAAAACCCCAATTATAAAGTACCATGTAGGTAATTATTGTTTACTAAGGACTATCGAGGGAAAATATCTCAATTATTGGTTATTGAGCACGGATTTGAGAATATGCCTTATTAGAAAGGATCATTTTGGGAACTTGTTATTTTAATCAACCAAAAATATTCAGATCAAAGTACTAGCCAGATTAGGTGTTATATTTGAAATAAGAAATTTAATTAAGATCATAACATTGAGAACAAATGAGGCCAGAAACTTTCAAACAAGAACATATCCTAAGGTTTCAGCTCACAATTTTTCAGGCAAAGAGAACATGTCCTAAAGCTTACTGGTCCTAAATAAATCATTTATGATGTAGGTGCTTCTGAAGTTCTGTTCTCTCATATTTTTCTTTTCATTTTAACTTGCACCATGTTGTATGGTACTACCGATGAATTCTATATAATGAGAGAGATACAAAGAGAGAGAAAGTACCTGAGTGATAGTCAGAGGAGCATCAACGTGTATGTCAGACCTTTCTCTGCGGAACACAGGATCTTCCCTAACCTGAATCATGTCAGTAATTAGTCTTTGTTAAACACATGACCTGCATCAAACTAGAAATGATATAATTTCCAAGATAAAGACAGATAACTAATTAAAAACCTTTAAAGTAACATAAAGATCACCCGCTTGATTTCCTTCGGGATCCGCACCACCACTTCTATATACTTTCAGAATCTCATCATTGTCCACTCCTGCAAATCAATGATTATATAATAACAAAATCCATCAAGCACAAATATGTTTCCAATAAAAAAGTAAAGACATCATAGCTTCATATTCTGAAAAGAGTAATTTTTTGACAATGTTTTAGCTTTGGGTATTGTTAGAGTAGATCAAAATGTCACGTTTAACTCCTCATGCTCCATACTTTCAATGAAGTTTTGAGCAGTGCATCATCAGTGTAATGGAAACAACCTCTATTTTTTAGAGGGGTAAGCACGTGTACATCTTGACCTCTCCCCCCAAGGCTCCAATGGCTTTGGGATTATCCTGGGTTTGTTGTTGTATGGGAATAAAGACACTAGACTCAAAGTCTTCAAATCAATTTTCTGACCAATACACATCAAAACATGCACCTGTGAATGTTTAGGTGGAATTGCATCTGAACACTTATATTTCCATTTAAACTTCAGACAATCAAAATTATACCATTGATAACCACATTGGCCATTACTTTGTCCCATTCAGTACACTTTTTCATAAAAGTGTCAAACATGATGAAAACTAATTTCTTTTATTAAAAACTGAGGCTTTTTGGGAAAAAACAAGTTGAGAAACATGCCTTTTTTATGGGAGGGAGTGAGTATTAAAATTGAAGTACTTCACTAGTTTCTATTAATTTATGTAGAGGGTCTCGTGAAGATAAACTCCTGTCAAATTCTGAAAACAAGATCAACAACAACAAATCCAGGATAACCCCAAGTCCCAACCCCATTGGGGTCTAGGGGTTCATATACTGATTACTGAGAGCAAGATCACTGAGCATAAACGAGATCTGTTTTCAACATTACAAGTTACCTGGCATAATATCCAACTTCACAGTTTTTGTTCCTCTTACTACGCGGCTTCCCTTACATGTCTTGCAGAAACTCTACAGACCAGTGTTAAAAGTCAGTAGACATGTCCATTAAATTGTTCCCATTTAACTTAAGTGAGAAATCATAATTTGAAAATACTTGTTGCATTAGCAACACAAATCTGTAAATGTTTGCTTTGATGCTATAGTTAAACTAAACCATGGTCACAATTTTTTAAGTTGCAAACAGTGGGAAGTGGAAACAAAGTATTTGGAGACTTTTTCTGGATTAGTGGATTATTAATTTTTTGTCAGGATATGGGTGTGTTAAAAGCCATACGGATTTTTTGAGGCAAAATTAGTGATGATGCACCAACAAAGTAAATTAGAAAAATAATGTAAATATCATGTACTAGGATGGATGAGTGAAAGATTAAGAAGAGGTGTGAGAGAAGACAGCAGTAGGAAGGAAAAAGATTAGAGATGTTGATCACCGGTCATTTAAAAATTAATCATTGGTCGATAAAATAATAAACAACTTCTCATTTGAACGGCTAATCATTATGATCATACCGATACAATTTTTCCAGATCCTCTGCATTGTGGACAGGTAGACTGAACTGTGAAAGGACCAGTTTGCTGGAACACCTGGAATTAGCACAAAGTAGTGGCGTTGGTTTTAAAATATAAGCAAACCAAAATAACAATTAAAAAACAAGCACACACGCTCACCATGCCAGAGCCTTTGCAGCGTTTACATGTCTCGGGCCTTGTCCCTGGGGGAACACCACTTCCACCTAAAACATGAAAACCCAGAATTCAGCAGATTTCCTTATTGCATACAATGCATGCAGAGTAAATATAATAGGTTTCTGCGACAGCGCAACTTGAATTTGACCGTGAGGTCAGGGTTGCAACAGCTTTACCACTGCACCAGGGGTCCCCCTTCACTGCATGCAGAGTAACTGGACTGCCTTAATATGCAATCCAGAGGAATAACTTTCCTTTTCCTTTTTCAATAATGTTTCAAGCTTGGTTGGATTTATCTTCTTGAAATGTGAAGTGAATTATCAACTATCTACAGTTTTGAAAAACAAGGAGATTATCAACTATCTACAGTTTTAGGTTTACCTAATTAAAAAATAATTACAGACTACAGAATCACTGGATGAAATAAGGCAAAAATTCTTAGCAGATTATCAAAGAAAGTATGCACATATACTCTATTAAGAAAAGTTCAAATCTTCTTGGAAGTGAAATTGAAATATACATTTCTTAAGACTTAATAAAGTGTAAATGAATCATTAAGATACACAAACATTTCCTAATGTATGTAACAAGATTGCACTCATCATTTGTAAGAAGGATGCTATATACCACAAGCACTACAAAGCAAATCAGTTTGGAATGCCACAGTTTTGTTGCACCCTTGAACAGCTTCCATGAAAGAGAGTTCAACAGAGACCTGCAGATGTGATTTTTAGGAATGGGTCATGCTCATGAATAAATAGGAATTTTTGTAAGGATACAATACAATTTATGATTGCTTGACATTTGCCATTGACAAGAAAGTATGCATAAGAGAAGGAAAAACCTTGACGTCTTCCCCGCCCATCTTCTGTCTAAACATGTTAAAGATCTGGTCTCCATCATAGAAGTAACCAATACATGGGCATTGGACAAGAACAAAATTAGAAGTGAGATCTGAAAGCTTATGTGAATATAATGTACATATATGCATATGAAGATTAAATGATGGGGTTGTAAATAGGATAGATGTTGAAGAGTCGCAGATCGTTCTGAATAGTGCTGAGCAAGTAAAACTCATACAGTTGTATGAGATAGAAAAAAATAATTCTAAATTGCACAAAAAAGTAACAATAAAGAAATCTGAAAATATATTACAAACATTTAGTTTTAAAGACATTGTAAAATTTTCAATCCATACCCTTGTCTAGCCTAGATGGACTTGAGACTCAACTAAATGTGTTTGTCTAATTAGTGTCCTTATTTTCAATTCTATTGGGGGATGCAAAAAAAAGGATGAACACTAAAAAGGAATCTACTATTTAGTTTCTATACTATAAATATCTATAAACAAGGATCTCGTAGTATGCCCACGGCCCATCCTTATTAAATCGAAATAAATGTTGTCATGACTAATGTTTGATGAAATGCCCTACTCTCCCTTTTGAGAACATATAAAAGAAGGGGATAGGAATTCTTCAAGCTATCCAACCCCTATCAGATTCTCAGGATATAGATACAATATGCTTTGAGTCCTTGTCAATTGTCATCCTTGTTTATGGATGAGAACATGGCTAGTTAACTAGTCATCTATTTTTCACAATTTCATGTTCCCATCAGTATTCGAATTCCTGCCTTCGTATCCAAACCATCAATGCAGAAATAGAAATTCACTTAGACAAATAATAAAACAACGATGATCTCTAAAAAAAACAATTGAAACAAATGTAGGACATTCGTACTTTTGTCAGATAACACATTTGCATGACAGCATCAACAAACAATAGCTTAAAAGGAAGAAACTCAAGCTCTTACATCAGAATTGTTAAAAATATCCTCAAAACCAGGAAACCCAGAGAAACCGGCCCCCGCACCTCCACCCTCTTCTGCACGATTGAAAGCATCATGACCGACCTGTACAATGTTACATAAACATGTCAACAGTATGTAAATCAACATTTCATCAGTTCTAACTTCTTTTAGCTGAAGCATTACTTCAAATCATAGTTCTTGTTTATTTGAGAAAATATTATCACTGGTTTTTTTGCATGAATGAATGGTGTTAACTAATTTTTGAAAACTAATAGGCACGTATTATTTCATGCCACCGACCCCAGCTACATGGATAAGGGTGCTGGTGAAGAGTACACAAGAATGTCTGAAATGTTGTACTATTAAATATCCATGCTTTTACAGGTCAGATCTGAGACCCCTTACCTGCAACCCCTCTCACTAGAAGTATATAATGTAAAGAGTACTTCGACAAAACATAAAATATGTATGCACTTGTGCAAAACCTGATCATAAGTCTGGCGTTTTTCATCGTCTTTCAGAACCTGCAAAAAAAAAGATGAAAAAAAGTATTTAACGGAAATTCCTGAAAAAAACCAGGAAGGACTACATAAATAATAAAAAAACTTGAAAAGTAACATTACCTCATAAGCCCTTTGAACTTCTTGAAATTTCTTTGCAGCTTCTGGGTCATCTTTATTCACGTCTGGATGCAACTGTTTTGCTAACTGAAACCATCCACGAGCAATGATTTACTTTAGAGTAGTATTGATTTGAAAGGAAAGTGAAGAGTGGAAAATGAAAGGAAAACTTCTTCTCCACCACATTGATGTTCCATTAAAATAATCTTCAAAATGACAACTTTTTTCAATTTCATACCACCTTCTTCTGGAACAAGTCAATTTTCCACTCTATTTTATCTCAATTACCTTCGTGTTCATTCCTCGAATTTTCTTTCACTTTTCTTCCATAAAACTGACTAGACCCTAAGAGTGATGTTGCATGAATTTTGATCATGTAGCCTTGAATTAAAATTCGAAAGTAGCAACCTGTGTATCACTCATTCATTCCAATACTTTTACCTCTCAAGTGGAAAAGAATAATAACCAAAAGAGGAGACGAAAGCATACCCCTAGATATGCTTTCTTGATTTCAGATGCAGTTGCATTCTTGCTTACACCAAGTAAATCATAGAAATCTCTGCTTGACATTCGTGCTGGAAAAAGAAGGGGGTAATGTCAATTCACCTGGATAGTGGATATCAAAAAACAAATGTAGTAGATGACAAAGCATAAAATTTTAAAAGGGTCATCGTATTTGGGTAGGGACTCTATTCAGTCCAACATATGTAATATGTGGGTGGATCCATGGTAGTTAGTATCTAACAATTCATGCATAATGAATCTTGATACGATATAAAAAGTAACCCTAGCAATACGGGTCGTGGAATGAATCTAAAATGTGCCGCGATCAAAATTATATCACATTAGTGGCTTACGGTTTAGGATACGAATCTAGAAACAGTTGATAGTTTGAAGGATATCCTTAATTATATTCATTAAATTTATTCCCGTTTATAGGTCCAAGAAACAGTATTGCAAGGAATGCTAGGAGAATAATAGAGGAAGAGGATGAACTCCATGATTTTGATCTTGGAGATAATGAGCTCGAACAGGACACATAGAACTCTAGGGGGTAAACCAGTGAAGTCAAACTATGAGTATGCCTTTTAGGCGTACCGTCAATACCCTATAAGATCTTGTTGTTTTGATGAATGCTAGTGCTTCGGATCATTTTTAAATGGTGTGAACTAACTTTGAAAACGTTAACACTAAGAGTTATCCTTCAAAGTATTTTAACTTAACTCTAAAGCTACTGCAAATGGAGCAAAAGTAAATGTCCAAGCTCTATAGCTTTTAAGAACTTTCATAAAATCATGATAAAAGCTTGATGATTAACCCTCCTCTAAACCTCGCGACCAAGCCTCGATACACCTCATCCATCTAGGGGGTAAGCCTCAAAATACCAATGTGAGTTTTAAACCCGCCACCTCAAATGCAATTGAAAACTATATTCATAATACAATATGATTTGTGGTTCAAAAAATGGGTCTTGTGATTAATGAATTGAATCTTAATTTGAAACCTTTAGTGGATCCATAACCTTTACGGTAAATGGTTGTTAAATTGAATCCACTTGGACACATGGAGGGCACATTATGTCTGGGGACTCATGTTCATGAGCAGCTTTAGGGCAATGGCACATGCAAATAAAACGCTGTGAATTTGAACTTGAATTTCTACACTGGAGCCAATTTATCAAGCTTGGTCAATAAATTCATTTTGGGCTTGATAACAACTTGAATGATGATGCAATAAACGGGTGGGTGCAAACTTATGAGGGAAGAATACAAACAGCATGAATAATAAAAACTCAGAAACTACCGAGAGCATAGTAATGTTTCCATTGTAATGGCCATCTTTTAAGAATCAAATCTCTGGGAATTTGTATATGGCATAGGTATCATATGTGTCAATTTCATGCAAGGATCATTCCACCGATCTGGATACATGTAAGCTCCAGGAAAGTGATGTTTCCATAATTTGGAAAAGTTCAAGAAAATATAAAAGACTTTTTGGATAACTATATTCATTCCAGAATAATGTTTTCCCATATGGTGTTTCCCATTCTCGTATTTCATAATTGTGCCCGTGCAAAAAAGCCATCAATAATGCTTCAAAATTGAGAGGATGAGCATCATATTGCATGGCTAAGAAGTTCCTTGAAGCATGTGCTCCTACAGTCAATGAAGTGCTGATAGCAAGACCTTAACTACAATCGTTTAAAGGTGGCATAATAGAACGGTCGTTGACCTTTTGGTGAGGCAACTATCGGGCTTAAAAAAGATAGCATTTAGAACACATCCAAATGAGACAAAGTTGTTCGCTTGTTGGAAAGTGTAGATTCCGCAGTTTTTATGGAAAACTAAATACATAGTGTGCATTTGTTAGGTTCTAAGATAGACGATAATGCCAATTTAAGTTACGAAATGATAAAATTTGGGGAAATGAAAGCGTGGAATTATAATGGGTAGGTGGCTGTAAACATTAAGAATCCCTGTGTTCAACATCATGAACCCATCATCATTATCAGTGCCACAATCCCAACTAGTTGGTGGCATCAATTGTGCCAACTAATTGTATAAATTAAATAATACTGTAAATTTAGGCAAAAAGAGATGACAATATTTTACTTTGGATAACCTTTCCGTTGCACTATTCATAAGAACACAAAATGAGATTTTAAAAAATTACAATGCTAATCATTGTCAATCATTATTTCCTTGTCAAGCTTCTAAAAGTACGTCAGTAAGATGAAACTACCATCAATTCAAAATCCACGATATAAGCAGATACGGAGTTATTAATGCACTTTCTGCCAAGAGCGCATGAATAGTACTCTGTTCTTTAGTATTACAAACTTTCAGTCATCTAGTGTAAAGCCAATGGCTTTGTGTTCTTATGGACTATAAATTAATTAAAACAAGCTTAAAAATTCATCTTTTTCAGGTTTACAAGGTACAATGTCTTTTGTTATGTTGTCAAAAATATGTCTTTTGTTATACTTTCTCATTAATCTTTAGTTCTTTAAACTTAATTTGGGTGTCCCCGTGTCACAAATTAAAGTGTTCCTGGTACACTTCCTTACTTTCCTATTAACGAAGAGAATAAGTGGCTCACAATAAGATATAAACTACACTTTTCAACATGTTTCTTCATTGTAAACTTTATCTAGGGATGAAGTACAGCCTAAAGCAAAACCACCCAGTTTAGCTCACGCTTCTCTTATTTTCTGATGATATAATTCTAATATTATAACTTCATGTGTACATTAAAAAATTTTAAAAATATTATCTCAAACGTCAACAATTAGATATAAACTAGTCATATATGGAGAGAGACCTGTGGCATGAATTGATCTTTTCTGGCCGAAATTTGCTTTTGATGACCAAACTCTTTCATTGGCTCCTATCCCACAAAAACAAAACAGAAACACATTTATAAGTAGAACCACAGTGGTTTAAGCCACGCCATTGTAAAATCAGAAGGAAACAAAAAAGTTTGAATTCAAAGACACGCTTGGCTTGCCATTACTGAAACACGACTGGAGTAAAGGCCTGGACTTGCTGCAAATCCCGGCACTATACTGTCTGCATCCAGAGCCGTATATCGATTCAAATACCTGTAAATCAAAAGGCCATATTGCTTCGTATGCATAGATTGGGCGTTTATTACCGCGTACATGGATACAAAATGTAATGATGGGGAGCTTACAGAAAAGGAATCACGGAGGAGATGGGAGGAGAGGGCGGCGCGGGCCAGCCGGACGGCGTTTGAGCGGGCCATTCCGTCGGAGCGTCGGATCAGTTAAACCCCTAGAAAAACCCTAGTTTGTTGAAACACTGAGAAGAGTAAGGGTTTAAGGCTTAACTCCTGCTGTAAATCCCAATGCCCATTTGCAACCCGGAACCAATTCGGGTAGCTTTTTGGGCATGACATGATTTCCCGATTATACTTTTTCTTTTGCCTAGAAAAAAAAAAGCAACTTCTATTTCTATAGTAAATTCTTTTGGGACGAAAAAATTAATTTTCAACTTCTTTAAATTCCTTATACTCCGTAATTTCTTACAATTCTTTTCTGTTCTTTCCAACTTCTTCTAGTTTTTTACAACTCCGACTTAAAAAGATATTTGCATATTGTTAATATAAAATAACATTATATATCCAAATTTATCATATATCAATTCAAATACGGACAATGATGAATTTTTTTATTCAAAATTAGATTATATTGTTATTTAATTAACAAATGACATTGTCTCCAATTAGAATATGTACGATATTTCATTTATAAAATTGATTGTTTATATCCCTCCTAATCATCCCGATAAACTTCCTCACTTCGGTCCAGCCTCAACTCACCCCCTAACCCCTTCAATAAAAATCGTGTCTCATATTCCGTGAAGTTTATTTTTAAATTACTGGTAATACAAAGCATGTTAAATTTTTTATAATATAAATAAATTTTAATGTGGTGGGGCATGTTGGGTTTTTTTATAAATCAAGTTTTTTACTCGTAGATGTTAATATTGGACTGTATAAGGGTATAACTGTGATACTCCAAAAGAAGGATTAACAAGTTCGGACTTCATTAGTAGTGACTATATGTACCTTAATAGAAAAAAGTATGGATCGAGTATACACAATGAGATTTTATTTTGGGTATCATGTTAATATTGGGCACTAGATCAGTGCTCAGTGCTCACCCTAGGACCATGCGAGCAGAGAATGTTTTGGCCTTACGCTTTATTGGTGTCAAGGTATTGTAAATCTAAGTTGTAGTGAGATGGGGACGATACTTAGGTTATTAGTTGTGGCCGTTGATTGACATGACGGCCGCCTCACCCAATCCAGCCAACTCATATTTGATGAGGAGAGGGGGTGTGTGGTGGAGACAGAGCCAGTCCTGAGAATTCATGTGTCTGGGCCGAAACAGAAAAAAGGCCCTAGCTATTGATTATTTCTGAAATAAAATCCAAATTTATAAATTCTACTACTTAGTAAAATCAAGTATGAAAAACTGAAAAGTAAGCAAATAAATAAATATATCATAAACTAATATCAATTCATCAATATTTCTTTTTTAAATTGTTTTTTGCTTTTTCAGTTTTAATTTTTTTTATAAATCATAAATTCATATCAATTCGTCAATTTATTAGTTTTTAATTTTTTTTCGGTTTTCAGTTTTTTATATAAATATATCATAAATAAAAAATTCAAATCAATTCATCCAAATCAAATAAATAACATATAGAACCATTAATTCATTCTATTTTAAAGAATGAAATTAGAAAAGATTTCAAATTAAAAACTAATAATTAACCCTAGATTTTAAATCTAAAAAATGAAACAATGAAAGAAAATTAAGATTTAAAAATAAAAATTACAAAATTGGAAAGCTATGAATAATTGAATATGGAATACCCGTGGAGGGCGGCGTCCGGCGGGGTGACGACGACGTCCTTTGTTCTAGCATTCGGCTATTGGCTCTTCCGGTAATCCAGTCCTTTCTTCGACTGTTCGATAGTCCCTAATTGGTTCTTTTTTTTGGTTTACGGGTGACAAAGTGAGTGGGTGGACTAGGCTAAAGGGCAGAGTAAGTGAGGGGTGGACTGGGCCTAAAATGGTATGGGCTTATATATATATAATACTTAAAAAAAGAATTTTGTGCCCCTAAAATTATTGGGCCCGGCCCGGACGGACACTCTGCCCCCCTATTGGCCCGGCCCTGGGGGGGAGGTTGTTCCCAAAATACCAAAGAAAAGAGTGTGTGTGATTTTTACCTTTAAAATAATTTTAGTTATTTGAGTGTATATTCTTCTTAGTGATATGTCAATATGGTAAGTTTGTGATTTTTGTGAACTCTTTGTTTGTGAATCTAACATATCTTATATTCCAAAAGCGTCCTAATTTAGGACCTATGGAGACCGCACATCCAAATCGTTTAGGTAGTGTTTGAAAATTAGAAATAATTTGAATGGGGATGCTTTCAAAGTATAAGATATGTTAGAGTCACAAAGAAAAAGTTCACAAAAGTCACAAACTTACGATATTAACATCTCACTAGGAACAATATACACTCAAATAACTAAATTTATTTAAATGTAAAACTTACAAAAGCCAAGTTTGTGAATTGTGCCTTTTTTGTGTTTGTAATCTAAACTTATTTGAAAAAGAGAGCATGTAATGTTACATCACTCCAAGTAGTGTAACATCGTGACACTAATGATTTTAGGATATCTACGTTGCTTTATTCGTAAAATTGATGGTTCATACCCTCTAATCTCTCCTAAACCATCCGACCCATCAATTTCACCCTGCCCCGACCCCTCTCCCCCCAGATCCCCGATTTGGGGTCGGGTGAGGTGAAAATGATGGAGGTGTGGGGCTAGGGGTAGGAATTATTAATTTTACGAACAAAGCACTGTAGATGTCCCAAAACTACTGGTGTCACGTGTTGGTGTCATTTTTATTGGTGTAAGATTACCAGTTCCCTTTCAAAGAAGTGAAATTTGCACTAAATAGGACTAAAACATAATGACTTTCCCAATGTAGGACTTAAACTTTTTTATTCTCTAAATAGGACTTAATAATGTTCTAGTGAGAGGAATAATGTCCAATAATGATGGACATTTAGTTAAATAATGACTATTTGATAATGACCAAAGGTCCGATATTAGAAAATAAAAACATATGATCTTATATTGGGAAAGTCATTATGTTTTAGTCCTATTTAAGTAAATATCTCTTCAAAGAATTGGTGGGAGATAATTGTAAGACATGAAAGGTAGTCAGGCAACCCCACATTGTGACCTTTTGAATTCTCACATACGCTTTGGATTTGGGATCTCTTCTTGTACACTGCAGTATTGCTGTGTTCTCAAGAATAGAATAATGTACATAGGCCATGTTCTTTTCTCTGTTGTGTTTTAATTTCCCCTTTAACCTTAATAGAGTACTCCGTACATCCTTCATTTGTTCAATGTTAATCTCCTATGCACCCATATGAACTTTTTCATATAAATTAATTTTAAAAAAATAAAAAATACTTAAAGAAGTTTTAAATACTTAGTAAATGTTTATCAATCAAATACTAGTAAGAAGAATCTGCCTTAAAAAACTACGTATTTTTTTTGTTCGTTATAAAAAAAGGTTTCACTTCTCCCTCAAACTGAATCACACAATTTTATTTATTTAATAATCATGTCCAGTCTATTGTGAAATATTATTTCGGAAAGTAAAGAGTACCTCGAATAGTTTTTAGAGACTGGAATTCGACCACTACTTTACGTTTTGGCTAAAATCTAGAGACTAGAGATTAAAATGCAAACCGAGAGCTTAGTTAAAATTACAATAGCACTTCCATAGAAAAGTACCACATTTTCATTTTTGTTTGATCCAAGAAAAAAGTTCTCTTGTTTTGAATAGAAAAAATTGTATAGTTCACATAATAATTATCTCTCTACACAAAATTTAATTACAGAATTTCACATTTATGTTGGTCATGTGTGCATCAACTCTCCCGTGGCAGAAGCTATGTGGGTCAAGTCACAATCGAATGTCGTGGGCGCTTATGTGCATCATGTCTTAGGATATGTGCTTCTTCTAACATTTTCTAACATTAACCAGTAATTTGTGCATGCCTGCTTTCTGTGATTTGTGCTCTTGTTTATTTCATTCTAACGTGATTTCTTTGTATGTACTATTGTGCTTGAAAAGAGTGTCCCTGGCTAACAATCTTTCTATTATCAAGTAGGAAAGTCTATGTGCACATACTTCTTAGACATTATTTTATGATATTTTGTTGGATTTATTTTTATTAAAAGTTAAAATGATCCTTTTTTTTTGCCAAATTTGATTTTTCATGATTAATACGTAGTACTCTGTAATGCAATATTTTGACTATTATAAAAGGTATTCATATATTCAAAAAAATGTATTAAAAAAATATTAACTCCTACAAAATTATATCTCTTGTGCAGCTACACATCTTGCACACCCTCCAGCATTCTTTTCTTGCACCACCAATCTACCAGTACAATAAAGATATAAAAAAGCCATTGAGACCATGATATCCACCCCCCCCCCACACCCCCACCCCCACCCCCCAAATTGGTACCTTTCTTTAGAAGTCAGTCACCACTCAGATAAGAATCTGATTGCTTGTGAAATGAGTTTAAATCAGACCTCTTTACTATGAAAGGAAGTTGGTAGTAGAAGCCTCATTTGTAGATACCAAAAATAGTCTCAAACAAACCTTAATCCAGATTCACAGTCTTCATTGTGGAAATAAAATAAACAGAAAGCATGCATTTAAAAAAACAGCAAGCCAATCCTGACCTCCAAGAAGACGAGTTTGAGCTGAAGGACACGAATCCCCAGCTTGGAGGAAGAGGGTGGATGAACAGAGAAAGATATACCACCAGCAGATATGATCTTGTGGAGCAGATGTTTTACCTCTATGTCAGAATTGTCAAAGCCAAGATTCTTGCCACCACAACTATCACTTGCCCTGAGCCTTGTTGTGTGGAAGTGAAGCTGCTGAACTATGTAGGAAAGACAAGGTACGCCGAGGATCAAGAATGGAATCAGGTGCTTGCTTTCTCTAGAGATGCGATCAAATCGTCAATTCTTGAAGTTTTTGTCAAGGGGAGAAAAGAAGACTATCTAGGGAAAATGGTGTTTGACTTGAACGAAATCCCAACAAGAATCCCACCAGACAGTCCTCTGGCTCCTCAATGGTACAATCTAAATGACCTCTACGGCAAACCCAATGGAAGCATCATCATGCTTGCTGTTTGGATGGGGACACAAGCGGATGACGTGTTTTCAGAAGCATGGCATTCAGATGCTGCGTTTGTTAGTGGGGAAGGAGTGGTTAATGTGAGGTCCAAAGTTTATGTCTCTCCAAAACTTTGGTACTTAAGAGTAAATATAATTGAAGTCCAGGACATCATTGGCAATGGCAGAGACCGTGACCATCAGCTTCGTGTCAAAGGGCAAGTGAGAAACCAGGTACAAAGAACTACCATATCGCGTGCTGGTCAAAATCCACAAATGTGGAAGGAAGACCTGGTGTTTGTAGCAGCAGAGCCATTTGAGGAGGAGCTAGTGATTACTATTGAATACCAGAACGAGGAGCTTGGAACAATAGCTCTTCCTCTATCCACATTTGAAAGGAGGATAGACCACCGGCCTGTCCAATCTCATTGGTTCAATCTCATGAAGCTTGGCTGTGAATCCTCGGAGCCCTGCATGAAAAAAGAGCCAGCATTTTCAGGAAAAGTGCACCTAAAAATCTGCCTTGAAGGCGGGTACCATGTATTAGACGAATCAAGAATGTACATGAGTGATCAGAGGCCAACTGCTCGACAGCTCTGGAATCCACCAGTTGGGATATTGGAAGTTGGGATATTAGGGGCACACAAGCTTTTTCCAATGAAGACAAAGGTATTAGAAATACTCCCTCTGTCCCTTTTTAATCTTCCCTACAGTGCCAAACTATATCTTCTTTACTTATCTAATTGAATCATTAGAATATTTCCTCTTAATACTCATTCATTAATTCATACAATGACATATGCTCCACTTACAATGTTTACAAAAAGGATGGACGGGGGCGCACAGATGCATATTGTGTAGCCCGGTATGGTCAGAAATGGGTAAGAACCAGGACAATTCTTGACACATTTGACCCCATATGGAACGAGCAGTACACATGGGAAGTCTATGATCCTTGCACAGTCATAACACTAGGAGTGTTTGACAACCACCATTTGAGCGGAAGTGGGAAGACCACAGCAGCCCTACGTGACCTTGAGATTGGGAAGGTGAGAATTAGGTTGTCAGCTCTGGAATCCCACAAAATCTACAGCCATTCTTACCCACTCGTAGTTCTTCAACCTACTGGGGTGAAGAAAATGGGAGAAGTCCACTTGGCAGTGCGGTTCAGAAGCCTCTCTTTGGCCAACATGGTCTCCGTATACGGACACCCTTTGCTGCCCAAAATGCATTACCTCCATCCCTTAACAGTCAACCAACAAGAGATCTTGAGGTGCCATGCTATGAGCATCGTGGCATCAAGGCTAGGCAGAGCCGAACCTCCACTCAGAAAAGAAGTGGTTGAGTGCATGTTGGACTTCAGGTCCAGCTTGTGGAGCATGAGAAGAAGCAAGACTGCCTTTTTAAGGATCATGTCCCTCGTCTCGGGCATACTGTCCTTAAACAAATGGTTTCGCGACGTATGCCACTGGAAGAACACAGTCACCACGACTCTGGTTCACATCCTGTTCCTGATATTGGTTTGGTGCCCAGAGCTAATACTTCCCACATTTTTCATCTACATGTTCTTTATAGGACTGTGGAACTACAGGTCCCGGCCGAGACACCCTCCACATATGGACACTAGACTTTCATGTCCAGAAACAATGAGTCCGGATGAGCTTGAAGAGGAGTTTGACACAGTCCCCACGACAAGCGAGCAAGAAAAAGTCCGGGTTAGGTATGATAGGATAAGGCATTTGGGATGTAGGGTTCAGGGGATGGCGGGAGATATAGCTACACAGGGGGAGAGGATTCAGTCGGTTTTGAGCTGGAGAGATCCAAGAGCAACCAGTATGTTCATTGTGTTCTGTCTTCTTGCTGCCGCTGTGCTTTATGCAATTCCTTTCAAAGCCATTGCTTTGGTTTATGGGCTTTACATCCTCAGACATCCCCGGTTTCGCAGCAACTTGCCCGGTGTAGCAAGTAACTTCTTCGAGCGCTTGCCAGCTCGCACAGATTGCCTCATGTAATAGTAAATTAATAACAATACTCACACATCAAGAATCATATGATCATCTTCCAGCGGAAGTATTTACCAATTACCAGTACCCACACATCTTCCTCGTATTGATTTTTTTGCCCTCTTAGTCAAAAAATTAGGTTATGTGTGATTATAAATATGGTTTGAAATTGAATTTAATGCTGAATTAGATTATAGAACTATATGATCTTATGATTCTTATCAGGTAATTCTTTTATTGTTTTTTGGATTGAATTTTTTGCTCTCTTGATCTAAAAGTTAGGTTATGTAATTATGTGTAATTATAAATATAGTTTGAAATTGAGTTTTATGGTGAATTAGATTATAGAACAATACGAGGAAATGAGGGGAAAAAGCAGATTGCATAAACTTAGGTCTAAAAAAGTAAAATTTTAGGATTTAGGACTATTTTGTTATTTTTTAAAGAGATTATTTTGTGAAATTGCATTTAACAAGACTAAAATAGTGTATTTTTTTATGTAGTTATGGTTTAAAAAGACTAAAATTTTTTAATGACTTATGCATATTATATTTTTATATATGTATAATTGTATAAATATATAGGAAAATGGAGAAGTTTTTGACAAATCAAAGATATTGAGATTTGCTAAGATGTATCCAAATGATTTTAGCAATGTGGAAAGAATGAGTCTTGAGCATGAACTTGATCTTTACATTGATAATTTACAAGAGGATGAAAGGTTTGGTAGCTTGACTGGTTTATCCGACCTTGCTAAATTGATGGTGAGTACAAAGAAATACTTTACATTTCCTCTGGTTTATCGTTTGTTGAAGCTAGCATTGCTTTTGCCAGTTGCAACAACCACAGTTGAGAGATGTTTTTCAACAATGAAGCATGTGAATACTGATTTGCGCAACCGAATTGGAGACGAGTTTCTTAATTCTTGTGTAGTTTGTGCTGTGGAAAAAGATATATTTTTTCATATTACGAATGAAGATGTAGTTGATCGCTTTCAAAAAATGAAAACTCGTAGAGAACAATTATAAAATGTAATTTTGTTATCTTAATTACATACTTTTTAAATTTAAATTTATGCTTATTATATTTGTGGTGACCAAATGTGCCCCCGGTGAAAAAAAATCCTGGATCCGCCACTGTTTACCAGTACCCACACATCAATGATCTAGTTACACCATTTTGCGTAAGTTTCTTTTAGGCATTTCGTCAAGCACCTGATATGCGTGTATGATAAATAAATGGAGACGAGTGATCCTTCCATTTAGCATTTGAAAGATTAATTAAACAAATGATGATAGTTGTTTTGGCTTTGTTTTAATCGGTTTGATTTCAGCCAAAAGCTAGCTAGGAGCCTTGGGAGAGGACAAAACCAAATCTAAAAAAAATCCAATTTGTCTAATAATGTCTAGGGGCGCAGTTCGTGATGGTCTGTGATATTATCCGAACCTATTTCAGACCGCTCTTATTTAAATGGTTCGGTATCGGTATGGGATGGACTCCATAACCATTCGGTACATTTCCGTTTTAAAACAAAACGATACAACAGTACACTCATGTTCAAATCGTGCCAAAAGAATGAACATGCATTACTCAAAGAATATTAAAATAAAAGTATAATTTTGTATTTAAAAAGCACAAATTTGTTAAGTAGAAGTATTGATTTCAAATTTAAAAGGATTATAAATATATAAAATAAAAGATATTGAGTCCAAATTTAAAAAAAAATCAATTTGTATAATATCGAACTATTAATAACTCTAAAAAATAATGTTAATAGTAATAAATTTGAAAACAACGATAATAATGAAAGAATTTAAAAAATGAATAATACAACATGAAGTACTCTACATACGGAAAGATGAAGTAAATGAATACTCCGAATTTATTTGATATATTTCGTATGTAGGTTTGAACGGTTTGATCCGTGATTATCAATTTTAAATATTTGTACCACGGTTTCGCCCCGTTTGATATCGATTTGGTTTCGATTCGTGATGAAAAAAATCAATTTTGTTTAAAAAACATTATAAACGGTTCGATATCACTACGATCCAGTATGATCTCATGCTAATTTGGTTTTTTTGCCCATCCCTAATAATGTCAAAATTCGGGCAAAAATTGGCACCCGTACCGTTTAAACAAGTAACCCCTCATAGAAATGCTAGCAACTCATACAACTCTAACCCCTCATGATTATCGTCTTGTATAAATTCTTTGTGAAGATTTTGATTAAATGAGAATGATGCTCCATGAAAGAAATGAAAATGAAGAAATGAGAATGCATATAGTTTATTGGATTTGAGATCTAAAGACGGCTAATAAGTAAAAACAATGGAAGGAAAATTTTAAAAAAACACAGTGGCATAATCGTAAATAAGTCAAAATTCTCAGCCTTTGCGAAAATGCATTACCTTTTTCAGAAAATGCATCACGACGAACCAAAAATGAATTATTCACATTTCTCACGTTAAAAGCCATTCTCACCAAAATAAGTCCATGTCTGTGAAAACATTTATACTTATGGTAGATTACTAGCATGATCCACCTTATCATTTGAAAAGGCAGTCTTATACAGAGTAAATCTCATTTATGATGCTAAATACCTTGTGGTCCAGCGCCATGATGGTAATTTTCTCATATGAGAAGTCATCTTCTATTCCTTATGAGAGTAATAATTCTGCGTGCTAAATGAATTAAGAATGTATCAACACACACTATATTTTGAAAGGGCAGTGACAAATCCAAACCACATTTTGCTAATTCCATTACATTAAATCTTAACACTTAATATAAAATGGGATATATATAACAAAATAAGGCGCGAGTTCAACAATAACCTATTTCCAATGCAATAACAACATAGTTATGGAGTATCTTTATAATATATTACTCTCCCGTTCAATAAAAAGACTCTACCTTTGAACTAACACTGATATTAAGATAAGTGAAACTGTATGATTAAAAATGATGTAATTGAGGGAGAAATTATAATGTTCACAAATTCTTCTTTCTAAAAAAGAAAATTAAAACTTTTTTCAATAAAAAACAAAGAAAATGTAGAACTTTTTTTAGGCCGGATAAAAACAAAGAAATTTGTACTAAACAACACTAAAATATATTTCGTTTCTTAATGTAGCACTTAAACTTTTTAATTTTCTAAATAGTACTTGAACAATGTCGAGTGGCAGGAACAATGTCTTGTAATGGTGGATATTTAGTTTGAACAATGTCCAGTCGCGATGGACATTTACTGGAACAATGACCAGTGGACATTGAACAATGGTACTACATTAAGAAATAAAAACATATGATATTACATTGAAAAAGTTGATATGTTTTAATACTATTTAGATAAATTCTTCACTATATAATAGTACGAAGTAATACAAATATGATACTGCTACATTCTACTCATTTAAAGCCAATACATTTTATCTTCTAGTTTTCTCTTTCAGCCTTTCAGGGTGAAAATGTATTTTAGTGACTTAAGCCTACACCATTTTTTTGAATGTTCTCACAAAAGAAGAAACTCACTACCACTTTAAAAGTCAAAATATATGGTACAATCAAATGTACCTTTCGCCTGATATATCATACTTCTTTCAGTCCCAGCGTATTTGTCCATTTTCATTTTTGCACACCATCTAATACATTTCTTTAATCAATTTTATTTTGTAATTTGTATATTAAAAAATTATAGAAATTATATATTAATAATCTATATGTTAAGACAAATCAAACACAAGATCACACATGACTATATTTAGGCTTACACATTGAGAGAATTTGATGAGTCAAAGTGCTTAGATGAACAGTTCCAAAAGTCAAAAGTGGACGAATATAGCGGGACGAAGGTAGTATTTAATTTATAATTAAGTAATGTTTCAGAATGAACATTATTTTTTTAGAATGAACATTACATTATTTCATAATGAATATGTTTTAGAATAGATTCTACATTTTTTCAGAATAAACATTATGTTGAGTAGGCGTCAGAATGAACACTACTTTACAAATGAAGATTCACTCGATTCAAAATAAATATTTTACTCCCTCCATCCCTAAATATTCACAACATTTGCTTTTTCAGCAGTATCGGGAACTTTTGTTTATTTCGACGTTTTTATTGATTATTTGATAAAATAAAATATTCTTGACACCTCTTATTTCGAAGAACTTTTCATGTAGTTTTTTTATATGTAAATTTTATTTTTTATTTCTTTACCAATATGTAAATAAAATGGATTCAAAAAACTTGATATTTTGTCTCGGAAATACAAATGTGGCAAATAATTAGAATGAGGAAGGAAGTATTGAATTAGAATGACCATTCTATCCATTCGAAATAGATATTTCTGGGGAGTACCAATCTCTACGGCATTTGTCCAAAAATCCATCTAAAATCACTCACCTGCAAATCTATCCAGAGCTCCACCAACAATGGCGACAATCTCCACATCTTTTGTATCCCCCAATTTCATTCCGAATCACAAAAAGCACTTCAAGGCTCATTCCTCTAGAATCCGCTCTCCAACTCTGAAATCTGACGCCGTTCCTCTCGCGCTCATCACGCCGCCGCCAGTCCCGCAGCACGGACATGCTTTACTGCTAAGAGGGCGTGTCAGTTCCGTCGCCGGAGAAACTTCAGCTCCGGCGCAGGACACGATTTCCGAGGCCGCCAGGCGGCTCTACGTCGGCAACATTCCCCGGACTGTCAGCAACGATGAACTCCGGAAATTTGTGGAAGAACATGGCGCTGTAGAGAAGGCCGAGGTATATTCTGCCGAATTGATTTGGATTTTATGACCAAATTTGTGGTTTAGCTCAGTGTAAATGCACTCAGTAGGTTTATATGAACCAGATATTCAAATTTCAGCGCAATCCTGTACAAATTAGGCGGATTTTTTGAAATTTATTTTCATATTTCTCTCATTATTGAACATTTGAGCAGTTAAATCCCAACCCATGTTCATTAATTGGGTACTGAAAGAAGTTTCATACTGTAGCTTATGTACCTATAGACAATAAAGAAATGCATTTTGCACATAAGCGAAATAAGGTCTAGAGACTATATTAATCTTAATGATGTCATTGTGCCCTACCATGTGCTATATCACTCTGAGATCATTCACGTGAAGGTCTCCCTTGATCATTGCTTGCCAAGTCCTCCTAGGTCTGCCTTTTTCTCTAGCCATATTCACCATTTTGCTGACATATATGTTATAAAAAAACTTTTCCTTAAAAATTTTTTGTCAATTCAGCCAAAAACCATTGTCAAACGCTGCGATTAGGCTAAAGATTTATCATCTTTGTTGGTAGGTTATGTATGATAAGTATTCGGGAAGGAGCCGCCGGTTTGGATTTGTTACAATGAAGTCAACAGAGGATGCAAATGCCGCCATTGAGAAGCTCGATGGAACTGTAAGGATTGTGTGTCATTACAATTGCATTGTTCTTATGTGGATCCCAAAGTATGTGTTCATATGTTCTCATTCTACTTTCTTATGATAAATAGGAACTCAGCGGGCGTAAAATAAAAGTTAATATAACCGAAAGCCCACTGCAAAGTGTAGATCTGTCACTTCTACAAGCAGAGGATTCACAATTCATTGATAGTCCACACAAAGTATATGTTGGCAATCTTGCAAAGACAGTAACTACCGAGACACTGAAGAAGTTTTTCAAGGGGACGGTTGTAAGTGCTAAGGTGTGTCGAGTTCCAGGGACTTCGAAATCCAGCGGGTTTGGGTTCGTCACTTTTTCTTCAGAAGAGGATGTGGAATCTGCTATCTCATCATTCAATAACACGGTAAGTGTCCCATAATCATACATCATGACAAACATACATATTAATGACAACAAACAACAAAACTTAAGATAATCTCAACTCTACGTGTCTAGGGACTAGGATTCAAGATGTAAACAAGCTCACTCTTTTAAAAAACGGGGAGATTGTTTCCATTACACCTTTGGTGCATTCTTCATTTACTACTCAAAACTTTGTAGAAAGCTAGAAGAAAAGGATCTTAAATGTCCCATTTGGACTTAGTCCGTTATTTTTCTAAAGCTAAAATAACAACAAAATCCCACAAAGAGTATATGAGCAGGGTGTGTATATGCATACCTTACTCGTACCCGTAAGTAGAGCGGTTGTTTCCTAGAGGCCCCTGGGCTCTAACACAAACATACAAACATAGTAGCACGGACAAAGTAAGAGCATGAAGACATAAAGACACAGGCCGAGACTAGCTAGTAGACCCAAAACACAAAAAGCACTCAACGACAAGCTATAGACTAGTAGTCTATAGCAAGACTAGGTGAGATGTTCCAGGCTGGTTGGCTAAGTCATACTCCATAATTCCATATAGTATTTAAGCAATTAGCACTATTTAATTATTTGTTGAGTCTTTTTATTTATCATATTTATCATTTAATAATCATTTAATCCCACCTAATAGAAAGTTAGGGGTAAGTTATTCCCACTTAGTGGGAGGTTTGGAGTAAGTTATTCCCACTTAGTTAGTGTGAGGTTATGAGTAAGTTATTACTAGTAGAAGTTAGAGTCTCTTTCTATAAATTTACCTCTAGTTATTTGTGTTAATTATTGAAGATTACACACTAATTTAACATTGGAGATTCTCGTTGGTTTCATTTATTATATGAGTTTAAGATTCTTACTCTTATTTTGATAAAGATTTTCCTTCATCTTTAGTATTTATGAAGTTAGATCCTGATTTCATAATTTGATAAAGACTTTCATCCATTTATTCTCCTTGCCTCTCTGGAGTTCTATCACTAGGGCAAAAGCGCACCAGTATAAACTACAAACTAATGCCCGGAGGTCTACCCAACTACTCAAATCTTAAATCTATAGACATTTCTATGTAAGGTGTTTGATTCCTCGGTAAGACCGTGAAAATGGAAGTCATGTCTAATCCCCTCCCAATGATTACTCTTTTAGTTTAGTCGGAAATGGACACCAGATAAGTAAAACTTACCAATTCTTCCACCTGCCCATGCGTAAGAGAGTTTACATGAACCCTCATATGTTAATCTTGAGTGTTCCATTGTTTTGTACTGTGGTTTTTGTTGGGTATAGTTATTATGGTGATTCATGATTTCTTTTCAGTTTTCTCACATAAGTTGGAAACAACCTCCCTACTTTCGAGTAGGGGCAAGGTCTGCTTACACATAGACCTGGAAAAACTGACCCGGACCCGATAACCCGAACCGAATAACCCGGAACCGAACCCGAATTGACCCGAAAACTGAAGAACCGAAATAGAACCGAACATCCAAAATGATCCGAACCCGAACCGAATGTATTCAGACCCGATTCAGACCCGAACCCGATTAAACCCGAACCCGGTTAAACCCGAACCCGGTTAAACCCGAACCCGACTAAACCCGAACCCGGTTAAACCCGGAACCGATTAGACCCGAAACTGATTAGACCCGAAATTGATCAAATTCATTAATATTTAATTTATCAAATGAATTTGGAGAAAAAGAATTACCTATATATTTTTACATATGTTGATGTGTTTCTAAAAAAACATATTTAAATTATGGGTGCAAACCATGTAACTACTTTCATGTACAAATCTTTTATTTTGTACTCTGTATTTTATAACCTAAGTTAAAACATTTTTGTATTTTTATAGAAAGTATATAAAAATTATAGTTACATTATAATACATATTTTATGTAAAGAATTATGTTACCAAAGTTGATTTTATTTTTTTTAATATGCCAATTAACACACTATAAAAAATACTTGAGCATAAAAATGAAAAATGGTGTCACAATCATTTGGTAAAAACTTATGATTATGTAAATGAATAAAACAACAAACTAACCGACATTACCTAGTGTAAGCTAAATAAAAGATTTCTTCTACAAAAATTATGAATGAGTAAAAAAAATATTGAACCATCTTAAAGAGCTTTTTTAAAACACAAATCGTGATTTTCATGGATACACTATCCAACAAACAAAATACAGCATTCTAGTGACAATTTTAAACCAAATTGTTATCCAAATATTAAAATAAATTAATAATAAAGAGTTTTATACATACTCTTCTTTAAAATTTTACAATCAATATGCATATTTAAAATACGGAGTAAATTTTACAATGGTGAAATATACTCCGTATGTTTATAGAATTGTTAGAAAATGTTAAATTTTATACAAAATATAATCAAAGTAATGTTTTTTAATGCTAAAAAAATAATATTCATTTAATATAATACAATAAAATATATTTAAAGATCCTCTTAAAAATAAGCTTAATGGACCAATGAAATACTTCCACCTCATACATTAGTGCACATGCGGATGCACATGTGGCATGCCACATGTCAACACTACAAATAATAAACTCAACTTTACATACATACATACATACATATATATATATATATACATATATATATATATATAGGATATATATATATATATATATATATATATAGGATATAGGATATAGGATATATGATAGGATTTAGGAAGTCGAAGTAAAATGTTAACTACAAAGGTTGCGCCGAAAACTTTAAGAGGGAAAACTTTAGAATGTAAACAATTAGTCAATTATATAAGTGTTTATTTTTTATGTACGTCCGTCTTAAATAATACGGAGTAAAATAACTACGAAGTATGTCATAAATTAACTAAATTTATTATGTGATATTATTCATTTATTAGTATGTGTTTACATTATACTTGAACTAATATAAATTTAAACCGATATAAACTCAAATCAATATAAACCCGAACCGATACAAACCCGAACCGATACAGACCCGAACCGATATAAACCCGAACCGAAACCGAAAACCAGTCAAACCGAAATAAACCCGGAACCGAACTGACCCGACCCGAACCGACCCGAACCGATTATAACATATATCCGAAAGAGACCCGAACCGAAAAGACCCGACTCGGAACCGAACCGATTGACCCGATTGCCAGGTCTACTTACACACACCCTCCCCAGACCTTACTGTAGTGGGATTCAACTGGGTTGTTGTTATTTCTCACATAAGTTGGAATTGTCAAAATGCAGTTACTTGAAGGGCAGAAGGTTCGCGTGAACAGAGCATGATATACAACTCCACATGGGCGAGAGTGGCATCAAAAGTAAGTTGTTGTGCTTTAAACTTACTGCAGGAGAATATTTTGAGCTGATTTTCTTCTATTGCAATATATCATGAGTCATGACAGTTTAAGTTTGTTTTGGATGTTAGGAGGTTAAGTCATGACAGTTTAAGGTTGTTGTGGATGTTAGGAGCTTAAGTATGGCCATTTGGTATCGTGTTCTTGTGATTTTTAGGTTAGCCAATTGAGTATATCCACCCTCCTTATCCACCCAAATACCAAACCAACCATTTTGTTCAATTCAGATTTTTGCTGTGTTGTTTTGGTTTGGTATTTTTTCTTTTAGGACCAAGTTGATACTTGCTCACCTTAAGGAAATTATATTTAATTCAATTTATTTAAAGATTTATGTAGAATTTAAAAATTAAATTTATATATTTAAAAAGTACGTGGTACATTAAATGTTTCAGGAAACAAGAGACAATTTGAGTATCTTATCAAGTTATCAATAAAAGTATATTTTTTTAAAAATGATACTCTCCTCGTGCAAAAAAATTTCCACTATCACTTAAAACTTCTTACTCCATATTTATCCCTACTAAGGCTTTGTTTTTTTTATTATTTGAGTTGTAGAAATAAAGCTAAATATTGGAAAAAACTAGAATGAGTTACAAACAACTGGAAGGAGGTGGAAGAAACTGGAAATAGTTGAAAGAAACTTAAATAACTTTTAGAAACGGGAAGGAATTGCAAGAAACTGGATGAGGTTAAAAAAATAGGATGGAGTTGAAAAACTAGTACTTGGATAAAACTTGAAGTAGTTGGAAGAAACTGGAAGAAGTTAGAAAAAAAAATTGTAAGGAGATGAAAGAAGCTAGAAAGAGTTTTAAAAAAATGAAAAACGTAAAAAATCATTAGACGTAGTATTTTAAATAAATGTTAACAATTAAAGTATCACATAAAAACCGTGAAGAGTCAAGTATGAACATTATTTTGGTACAGAGGAAGTATGTTACATATATATAGCACCATCACTTGGTGCTATAGATTTGGCCAATAGTAGGTTATCCTAATACATCTTTCAAGGCATGAGCTGCTATTATAATACTGAAAAGCATAAATACCACTAAAAGTTAATTTTAGAAAGAAGTTAAACTTACAAGACCAATTGCAAGTATGCTTGAGGGATTTTACGATTCCCGTTGATGAATTCAACCATTGCTGAACAGTCACTCATGCACCAAATCTGCTGAGCATTGGCTGAGTGTGCCTTGATGAGGGCGCTTTTGATGGCATTCTCCTCCCAAAACACAATATCTGCAGCCAAAAAGGCTTCGCAAATATACTCAGCGTTGGTGCTCGCAGGAAAAGGAAATAAGATTGCCCCTATCTCCCCTGTGCGTGCAGACATGTTAAAAGCATAATCACTTTGGATTACCATCCAGCCCTCCTCGGTTGGTCTAGCACGCTCATGATTACCCTTGTTCTTGTCCTTGTTGCGGGTATTTTATTTGCCTCCCAAGGAAGGGGGACCCCCTCATCCACGGCGATATCTCTTTTCCGCAAAGTATCGAGCAAATATTTTCGATACTTCGCATGGCATCTTAGGTAGCCCTGCACGAAAGAGTCCTGAGGTATCATGTGCAAGGGAGGCTCTTCATACTTAGAGCATCCTTCCTAGAAGAGCGGCTTGCTGACATCTCTAAGGTATCAGGTACATACCTAAAAAAAATCGATAAACTCTTTAACATCTCCTCCCACCTCTGCTGCTCAATATCCCAGAGTAAGTATATGTATGTATGTATGTATGTATGTATGTATGTATGTATGTATGTATGTATGTATGTATGTATGTATGTATGTATGTATGTATGTATGTATGTATGTATGTATGTATGTATGTATGTATGTATGTATGTATGTATGTATGTATGTATGTATGTATGTATGTATGTATGTATGTATGTATGTATGTATGTATGTTTGTATGTATGTATGTATGTATGTATGTATGTATGTATGTTTGTATGTATGTATGTATGTATGTATGTATGTATGTATGTATGTATGTATGTATGTATGTATGTATGTATGTATGTATGTATGTATGTATGTATGTATGTATGTATGCATGCATGCATGCATGCATGCATGCATGCATGTAGTATGCACATACATACATATTAAATAATTTAATTTTTTTATAACTAGCTTAATTATATGGAGTATTATGAATTTCAGAGTAGGAGTGACTTTGAGAAGTACTTTAGGTATGAAAAGCCTCCCTTGTCTGACTTTGAGATGTCATCAAGCCGCTCCTCTATGAAGGATACTCTAGGAATGAAGAGCTTCTTTGTTCATGATACCTCAAGACTCCTTCGTGCAGGGCTACCCAAGATGCCTTGCAAAGTATCGAAAACATTTGCTCTATACTTTGCGGAAGAGAGGCATTGTCGTGGAAGAGGGGGTCCCCCTTCCTTGGGAGGCAATTAAAATACCCACGACAAGATGAGAACAAGATTAATCGTGAGCGTGCCTAGACCAATCGAGGAGGATTGGATGGTAATTCAAAGTGATTATGCTTTTAACATGTCTGCACGCACATGGAGGATAGGGGCAATCTTATTTCCTTCTCCTGTCAGCACAAACCCTAAGTATATCTGCAAAGCCTTTTTGGTTGCAGATGTCGTGCTTGGGGAGGAGAATGCCATCAAAAGCTCCCTCGTCAAGGCACACTCGGCCAATGCTTAGCAGGTTTGGTGCATGAATGACTAGTCAGCAATGGTTGAATACATCCACGAGAATTGTGAAACCCCTGAAGCACACCTACCATTGTGATGTTAGGGAGTATGTTACATGTATATAGCACCATCACTTGGTGCACACCTGCCATTAGTTTTGTAAGTTTAACTGAATTGTAGTCACTACCTCTCGTTTCAACTCATTGATTCTCGAGGATAACCTATTACTAGCTACTCTTTTAACACCAATACAATCATTGTTCTAGTCACAACTTGTAGTTATTTTATTGTATAAAATACACTATGTGAAAAAAAATAGTGTGTGTTATTTTTGTTGGTTGAGATAAGGTTATTTATGATAATTTTTCATTTCAATTAAGATAATAAGTGATACTCCTCTCTTTATCCACTATTTTTGGAACATTGATTAGTGACATGCAAATTAAGAAGAAAAAATTTATACTCACTCCATTTTACAGAATAGCTATGCCCTAACTTTTTTGCAGATCCTACAAAACACTTTTACCTCCGCCTAAAATACTCCCTAGGTTTCCTTTATAGCAGGTAAAAGTTCTTTTAAGGGTATTTTAGACATTTTATGTGAGATAGAAGCGTCTTGTGGGATAACAAAAGGTTAGGGCGGAACTATTTTGTAAAATAGATGGAGTATTATTGATATTGATACTAAAAAATGTAAGAAAAAAATAATGAGTGTAAGTCACAAAAATGGTGTGACATAGGAATAAATAAAAAAAGACAATGAATTTAAATAAATGAAATATTGTGTTATTAACTCGATTACAATGTCATATATGTTTATACTTTTTCAATCTAATGATGTACAATAAGCAATGCCACCGTCTCTATTGAAACTTGAATCTGGGAGAACTTTCCTATAGATTTTTGGGAGTGTGTTTTCTACCACTCGTGTCAGTGTGGGATCTCAAATTACGTATAAATTATTTTAATAACAATATGAAGTTTCAAAAATATATATTGTAACTATTTCTTGTTTCTTTAATTCATTCAATCTTCTTCCAACATTCAATTATTTTTCAACCGACTTTGATTTGTAACTGACTTTGACTTGTAAAGTAATAAAAATAAAATGAAATATTTAAGTAGAGTGTCTAATAAAAGTTAAAATAACAAGGCAACATGAAAAAATGTTACAACATTCGTGAAAAGTCGAAGGGAAAATTATTTCAAATAATCTCAACTTTCCGTGCTCTTTCAAAAATAATATCACTTTTTGCTGTCATCGGAAATAATTCTAACTTTTCGTATGTATGCAAGTTTTAGGTCACCGTTAAAAAGCTAACGGCCTCTTAATGGAATTTTTTGGAAAATGCATGTTTTTCACAAATAAATGTAAGGTGAGATTATTTAAGGTAATTTTTCTTTTTTTTCGTTTATTTCATTTTTAACTTCGAATTTAAATGTATTTTTAAAAAATATATTTATAAATAATACCAAATTTAAGTGTTTTTTAGAGTGAAACTAATTATATTTTTTCAATAATCAATAATCTGATAATAAATATTGTACAATAAATTATTCTACACAATAGAGCAATTTCATTTACTTCATAATTGACTATATTTTTTTAAGTTGCAATTATTTTTCTTGAGTGACACTTCAAATTGTTTTTTATATTAAGTTATTATTAATATTTTTTAAATGTTACTACAAAACTTGTGAATATTTTTCGATAATTCTATATAAATGTTTTTCCTAAAACAACATTACAACAAATGCGAAATGACACGATTATTTTTTTCTCTGAATTCTAACTTTTATTTTCACTACAATTTTTGTTATATTCCATTTTTTTCGTAAACAACACTGTGAAATATTTATTCATAATCATCTATTACCTGTATTATTTTTTCTAAAATAGAACTACCTAACTTGTGACATTTTTCGATAACTCGGCATAAATTGTTTCCCAAAATAATAATTACAAAGTTGTGAAAATTGCACAATATTGTTTTCTCCAAAACAGCAATAATTATTTTTATAACTCACTACAATTTATGTGTATTGCAATTTCTTTCTTGAGCAATATTGTGAATTATTCTTCGATAATCTAATACAATATTATATTTCCCCTAAAAACAGAAAACAAAATTTGTAAATTGTTACATTTTTTTAAAAAAATTGAGACAAATCTCTAATAAGAGTATACTGTTATATTTTTAAGAACATAAATTTTAATTTAAAATTTAAAAAAAAAAAGAAAAAGTATTTTACTTAAAATAATTTCACCTTTCATTTATTTGCGAAAAAACAAGCATTTTCTAAAAATCTCGTTAAGTGACCATTATCTTTTTAACAACGACTCAAAACTCGCACACATGCAAAAAAGTGGATTTTTTTCCGGTGACAGTGAAGAGTAGGATTATTTTTGAAAAATATGAAAAAGTGGAATTATTTAAGACAATTTTTCCAAAGTCAAATTATAAACTTCATGAAGACTATAAGCTACAATTCCCCTACAAACAATGACGGATGATGTGGAAAATGAAAGTTGGCCGCCAAATATTGAGAGTAATCAAGATATTGAACAATGTTAAGTTTAGGCTCAGATTTTTCACTTATTAATACCATTACAATATACCAGTGAGAATATCAAGTAATGTAGTAATAGAAGTATAGAACATCAATGTCAATGTTCTTCACATATGAATAATCTTTATATTTTTTGAAGTTAATCAAACTCATGAACTATAATAAAAACAATCTCCGTGATATTTTTAAGATGTAATCTATGCCTTAAACTTTACACAAGTGCAAGTTCTAGCAAGGGGAATATGAAGTGTGTAGATATATGTGTAGTGTTTTTTGTAAAAATTATGTGTTTGTATTAATCGCAACATTGAGTTTGTGTTTGTACTTATGGTCTAGTTTCTTAAATGTTTGCTAGAGTTGCTATTTGTGCACAAGTAAAAAAACACATGCGAGCTTGCTTTGCACAAACATTTAATGTCAGTATGTCTTGGCAACTATAAATTGACATTTGATCATTCGCACATATTTTAAGAAATTTTGACACACCAACACAACCAAACTTGATAGTATAAAAAAATAGTGTTCAAAACTAACATTCAACCATACACATAAATGTTTGTACAAAATACATACACCATAACCAAAAAATTCAGTCATTCAATATTCAAATATTGAAATATATATATAAAGATTCGAATGGGGAAAAAGAGGGGAAGGAAAAAATAAAAAAAAAAGAAATCTGAAGAAATCAAAAACAAAAACAAGTTAGGATTTCAAAATCTGAAGTCAAAATCTACTGACTTAATAAGAAGAGGATAAAATAAAATAAAATTTAACGTTTATTATAGGACATGTCGTTAAACTGTTAGTGTAAACTTTGGGTGTTGGTGTACATTATGCGTGTGCAAGTAGATCTTTCCTTTTTGAATAATTTATCCAAACTCCTTTCTTTGTTGTTTGATCTCTCTTGTGTGAGAATTTTTAATTTGTACTCTTTCACCTCTAAATAATGGTTACTCTCAAATGATTTACTACTAGAACTTATATGTGGTGATTTCTTAGACTTTATTTAGGAACATCAATATTAATTAATGTTAAAACATTTTAAATACCTACTCCGTATTTTCTTAATGTTGTGGATTAACTTTGAAAACCATAAAAACAAACGATAAAATTTTCAAAATGTTAAATTAAATGTAGAGTATGTTCTCTTCAACATGTTTTATCACCCTTAAGTACTTAACACACATTTATATTAGAATGAGACCATAATAGTTTAGAACAAATTAAATCAGAAATAAATGCAATTATAACCAGAACCATTTCAAATAAAAAATATTCAATCAAATCAATCAATTTAAAAAGAATCAATTCTTTTTTATAGAAGCTCAAAAACCCATCATTGTACTATTTATTCAATCTAATAATCCCAACCTCGAGCGTAGCTGCGTAGGGGCAGGCCCTTAGACTACGTCAATATGCTTCCACAAACGAAACCAAATCTTGATAAAATCAAATATTGATAAATTTAGATCAAAACCAATAATGATTTGTTTGGGAATAGCGTTAAAGATTAGTGTTAACATTTTGGATAAAATTTTAACGAGGTAGATTACTTTGAAAACACTGACACTAAATACTGTCCGTAGATAATCTTTTCAAAACACTAACGCTAATCGCTAACATTATTCTCAAACAGAGCCTAAGAGAGCAACCTTTAACTTTTTTTTTTAATTTTCATGTTACCCTGTAATAATTGGCGATAAGGATAACAATGGATCGCGAATTCACGTTCTTGTACGTGGGTTCGTTCCATTTCCCCCCAGAATTCGCGCCACTTCCGATTTCCCGCCACAGTCAATTCCAGAATATTCCGCTACAAAAAACCCTACACCCGCCCAACGCACTTCACTGAACCGAAACATTTCCCCTCCAAACCTCGTCGCAGGTTTAATCAAAGATTAACGTTAAACTCTCGCCTTATCTTCGCAGCGGAGGAAGAAGAAGAAGGGTTTAAGGATGTTTTACGCTCGGACGTTACTGGCGCGGAAGGGTCCGTTAGGGACTGTTTGGTGCGCGGCGCATCTACAGTACAGACTCCGGAAGGCTGATTATACCAGAACCAATATCCCCTCCACCGTAGGTTTGTCTTTCTCCCATTTTAACCATTTCTCTTCTAATTTTTCTGTAAAGATTTATTTTTTAGGGTTTTGGAAATTTCTTGTTCGGGATTTGTTTATTTATTTATTTATCTATTTATTCTGTTGGGGTTCCCATTTTGCCCTTTTTTTCACACTACATTTAAAGATTCTTGATTTTATCGGCAATGTGAAGTGTTAACTATGGATTATTAAGGAGAAGTTAGATTTTATTTCTTTAGAATCATCTGTTTTTTCCCTTAAAATGATTTTGGGGGGAAGTTCAAATCTTTCAAGATTGTGGATTTGTGACCAAGGAGTATTACTTGCGTTCTGTTTTCAAAGATTTGTCTTTTTTAACCAAATGCCAAAGATTGTGAGTTTTGGGTTCTATGACAGTATCAAGTGGCATTGGTATTCGTTTTCTTGGAAAGGAAAGTGATGCTGTTTCTTATTCTTTTTGTTAAATTTTGAGTTGCAGCGTTTTAAAGGTGGTTTGGAATATCAAATATGAATGCTTATTGAAACTCTTGATGGATGTCATTGCCTTTTAAAAATGATGTTATTATATTTAATGGATCTTTTGTCAAAATAATGGTGGTTTTGGTTTACTGATCAATTAAAACCTCATGTTGAGGTGCTGGTTTGGATAGTGAGTAATCAGGGTTATCATTAGAATATAAAATTTCTATCTTTTTTACCTTTTGTGCCATTTTCACCGTCCATTGCCTATGGAATCAAAAGAGTATTATTGACAATGTTTTATTCTGGGGTAAAAAATGGACCAAATTAAATGATACACTAAACTTCCTTTGCTTTTCTTACACTCTATGAAGTTTTGGGGATTAAATTTCAACAGAAGTAACCTCTCTGGGGGTAATATTGCTTACATCATGACCTCTAGATCCCAATGGAGTTGAGATTATACTGTGTTTGTTGTTGTTTTTGTACGTTTTGTGCAAGAATACACTTTTGCATAGCCTAACTGAAATTTTGTATTGACAATGAAGAAGTTTTTTTTTATTGGCTGAATCATATTTTCAGAGTTTATCATGTATCCTGAAGTACCTATTGCACTTCGGATGTCCGGCCATCTTTTGCTCGGCGTTGTCCGGATATATTCGAAGCAAGTTGATTACGTTTTCCAAGAATGCCATCACTTGGAGTTACAGATAAGAAGGACATTTGTTTTTCCAAACATCAATCTTCCTGAAGGTACAACTCAAGAATCATATAATGCTGTCACTATGCCAGAAACATTTCAACTGGATGCCTTAGAATCATTTGAAGAGGAACCAAATCAAGAGAGGTAAGTTTTGTTGGGCCACTCGTTGACTTTCCTTGCTGTTTATTTATTTGCAATGATTTTGTATATTCAATGATTTTGTGCGCAGCTTTGTGGATACTCATCTTAAACACCCCGAAGAGATAACGCTGGAAGGTGCGTGTTATGCACGGTTTTCATTTTAATTTTTGTAAATATTGCATTGGTTTTGATGAAGTTTTGAAAGTATTGTCACAGATCAAATTCCCACTGGTAGAGAGCAATGTATACCAACTCTACTTGATATGGTGCGAACACCTTAAAATTTCATCTTTCTTTTCCTTTTACTAATTGCTTTGCACAGTTTGGCATCTCAAGTTCTTTTTGAGTGGAAGGTCTTAGAAGAAAAGACTTTGTAGTGCTTAGTATCTTGTATACAAACATGCCCCAAGATGTCTTACTAATTATATTATTACTGTGCAGGACACTGGGAGGGATTCACCAAGGGAAAATATCAATGTCTCTGGATTGCATTCAACACCAGAACAGATAGAGTAAGATTGTTATAGCTTTTAAACTTTTTTTTGAAGAGCACCTAATTGGGTGTTAATTGTTAGTTTTCAAAGTATTGTTAGTCATGTATGCATATTGTCATAAATAATGTTTATTTGTATTTGCAGTTCTCGGCCTCCAGTTGGAGAGGAAAAATCTGCTGGTTCTCGACAATCTCCTCCCCACCAGAGTACTCAGAGAGGATCAGATGAAAGAACTGCTGAGGGGGTCTTCAATCAAGAGTTTCCAGAAACTGAAGTTATGCGTGATGCTTTGCACACTGATAGTGTACCAACTCCTCCATTGTGGTCAAACAGGAACGATGATTTTCTGGAGCCTGACTTAGTTTTGATAGAACAAGTGGAAAAGGACAATCCAAATCTTTCTCCAATTGTTGAAGAGGTTTTGCCTTCTGGAAGATTTTCTGCCTCATCTCCACGCCATGTAGCTTCTTCAGTAGATGGCCGTGAAAACATTGATTCACACATATCATTTGATCATCCGTCCGTTGAACTAGGAATCCGGTCAAGCCCACCACCACCTCCTCCTCCTCCTCCATCACCCAAGCAGCCACAACCAAGGAAGAGAAGAAGGCTGCTCATTGATGAGACCTTAGTGCTGCCAAATAAGTATGTTTATCTGTTCATTGATTTCGTATTTCCGTGGGTTTTTGCCCACCAAAGTGTTGTTGATTATTCAACAGTCCCTCATTCTATTATTTTGATTGTTTACAAAAGGTTAATTGAGTCCATCACATCCTAATGTTATGATCATTTCCAAAAAGATAAAAGAAAGAGATTTTGATTACTCCATTATTAAGGCTTAATTGGCTACATTTGAAAAGATTGAGGGACTATATTGCAGAATAAAAAAAGGATTTTCCCTATTTCTTATGTCATTAGTGATCAACAAAATGTTTTTTGCCTGAATTTTCAGGTTGATGAGAGCTGCACTAAATGACACAAGCCATTTGAAAAGAAAGAGAAAAGAAGCTCCTCATTCGTCTTTGGGCACATGGAGATCAAACAAGATACTAAAAAAGGATGCAATGTTCTTTGAACCCTTGATAACCGGTAAGTTGTGCTCTACTTTACCAATGATTATTACAAAGACTTAAACTTCACAAGTTCACATCATTCTTCTGTGTACAAAGTCATTGACATTTGAGTGTGCAGGGCAGTGTGAAGATCTTTTGAATATGCATGAACAAGGCTTTGTTTTTGCAAGAGCCCAGGCCTCTTCCACAGAGAATGCTCGTGAAGATTCGAACAGTGCCCGGTCTTCTTCTCCTAACCCCAATGAGGACATGGATGTTGAACAGCTTCGCGACAACGAGGGCCCCACTGACAGCAGCTTTTTTGATAATGTCTTGCCTATACCCACTAGGTTGGTTTCCTCTCCATTAACAGCGGGTCCTTCTTCGAGCAGGCAAGAAGCTTTTACTCCTGCTGCTACCACAGTAGGTTCACAGTCAGAACAGCTTGTGAAAACTGTTGATTCTGAGGTGGAGCTACCCACACCAGACCAGGCAGCTTCCACTGGAAATCTTCATTCTGACAAGGATACTCCGGCGACATTAATGGATCATGATGTGCATTTCCAAACCAAATCTCTTTCTGATATACCCGAATATGACGGTTTTGCCGGGGTATGCCATCTGACCCCTATTTATCTGCTTGTTCAGTAATCCTTTGTTTGGATAATGAGGGAACTGAGGAAGAAAGTAGGGAACTTAATGTCTTTTGTTTAGTTTCACTTGTAGAGGTTTATATACTAACTCGTTGAATATGTGGATTTTCATGATGTAGGATTTGAGATTTTTGGAAGACGAGGACAACTCTCCTGCTGGTGAGATTATGCACTTTGTAATGAGTAGTGATTTGCTCTGTATCTGTTATTAAATATTCGTTATATGTCCTTGATGTTCATGCTTAAGTGTCTTTATACAGCCTCTCAGGGAACTCCAGAAGTGGTAGGTTTATCTGGAAAACAAAGTGGGTTTGAATCATTATCTACCAGATCAAGGTAATTTTAAATGAATACTGCTGTTTTTCTAAACTCCTTTCGTTCCAATATACTCATCCATTTTTAATTTTTTTTGTAATAAAGTTGGACAAATTTTGATCGCCAAAAAATGAAAATTGCATTGCATATCAATACAAAAAAATGATCTCATCAGATTCTTCTTTCAAATTACTTTCAAAAAATTATTTTATTGTATTACTCTCTCCGTCCCATGGGTTTTTGATATGAGGGAGTGACACAGAAATTAAGAAAAGTAAGATTAGTGGGATGGAGGGAGCGATATGCAATGCAATTTTTATCTAATTGATGACCAAAACTCATTCAGTTTGACCGAAAAAGTCAAACTTAATAATGTTGTATAAATAAAAAAAATGGGTTTCCTTATATATGTTTAATGTATGTATGAACACTTTTTATAGGGCTTTGGCTCAATATGTTAAAGGTTGGTCATCCGCTACTGCTCTGTCGAAAGGCCAATCATCATCTACCCCGGTTTCAAATCAAGGAGACCTGAGGTTGAATGTAGTTTTGGAAGGCAAAAGCAAGAAGATATCTGCCAGAATGTTTTATGAGACTCTTGTAAGTGTTTTTAGCTTTAAAATGCATAAATCTCTTATCACTTTTTAATCTTAAAACTTTATATTAAGTGACATTCTAATGAAAACTGCACTTGATTTGTGGCAAATGCATTTAAGGTTTTGAAGAATTATGGGCTCATAGATGTGAATCAAGAAGAATCTTATGGTAATATTACTTTGAAGGCAACTCCTAAACTGTTGAAGGAACAACTATAAGGCTAAACTAAATGCAATTTTCATGTGAAATTAGTGTTAGAGGTAAACTACTTTAGTTTTTTACGTACAAAAAAAGAGTAAATTGCATAAATGATCTTTAACTACCGGTTGTTTTCCACATTTAGTCTTCAATTCTAAATGGTCTTCAAATTTTGAAAGTTATTCCATAATCGCTCCTTGAGGAACTATATGTGGGAATAATATTGTCATATTTGGACTAAAGGATTATTTATGAAATAATTTTCAAAAATTGAGGACCATTTATATTATATCTTAGAATTGAGAACTAAATATGGAAAACCACTTGTAATTAGGAACCATTTATGAAATTTACCCAAAAAAAACTTTCACTTTTTTTTTTTTGGCTGTGGTGTATATTCAAAGGTAATTTGTGTTTTTACCCTTGCAAAATGCAGTGACCTCCTGTACAGACAATGCAAGCTGGTTAGGCATGTGGGCTACCAGTAGCAGTATCTGTTTAATTAGAAATCTAGAGTCAATAATCAATACGGAGTACTATAATAGCTTCTTCATGCAGCAGCTTGGTTGAGGAAAGGTGGTTTAGTTATAAAAAAAAAGGTACCAATAGTGTGAATGCTTAGATAGAATGTGTATTATTATCATCTTTATTACTTGGGCTATATGTAAAATTTATGTGCTATTGGGGCTTCCTTGTAAAATCTTTATCCACCCTTTTTATAGCAGTTTTTGCTATTAGTCATGCACTTTGTGAATTTAATGGTATTTATTATAATTATTATTATTATTATTTTTTTTTTATGATTATTATTGTGATAAGAAGTAAAGTTTGTGTAAGTAATTGATAAGGTGTGTATTAATTAGTTTAATTATTTGTTTTAATTGATTAACGTGTACTCTACAAAAAAATAATTTGCTGAGTATAAATACGGAGTATTAATTTTAGCCATAAAAATGATTATGATTTAGTTGCAAACATTGTTTTGCGATAATGATGATATCATTAATTAACATTTGCATTTTATCAAGCCCTAGTAATACACCTAAGGCTTCGGGGCGTTTTTCCAATTTTTAATGTTTGGGGTGTTAAACACCGCCCCTGCGGTGTTATAGGGGTGTTAGGTTAAGTGCGTCATAGGTTTAACAAATGGAAAAGAATGGGTCCCTCTTCCAACAGTTTTATAGCCGTTTAAAAAAATCTTTCTTTCCTATATAAATTCAATATTTTTAAAAAAATTAAACACACACACATCTCTCTATCTCTCTCTTCTTCAAATTAAAAAAAATTCTCTAAATTTATCTCTCTATCTCTCTCTTCTTCAAATTAAAAAAAATTCTCTAAATTTTTTTCATCTCTTTTAACATGAATCCTTTGGTTATAATATTCTTTCGTCTGGTCTCGAGCCAAAAGAAGAAGCGATGTGTAATATGCAAACCTCGGTGAATCTCCAAGACCTGGAGTTGGTTCCGGAGACCCAACCGGAATCAAGTGCACCAAAAAAATGTGCACACCGGAAGAGTTACAAAACGAAGGGTTACAAGCCGATGACCGAGGCAGCACAGTCCATTCAAAAATGGATCCCGGAAGAAGAATCGTTGTTGGCGTCTGCTTGGATTGAAGTCTCCGAGCATTCTATCGTTGGTAAGCTTTATTTGTTTTTTAATATATATTGTATATATGTTATTTTTTTATATACTTGTATTAAAATATTTTTTTTCCTTCAATTATATATTTGTTAAAGGTTCCGAGCAAACGAAGAATGCGATGTGCGATCGTATCGAGGAGAAGTTCTTTGCGACGATGAACACGGACGCCTCTTACTGAACTCCGCACCAACTCACTTCAAAATAGGGCCACATCAACTGTAAATTCTGAAAGTTTATCGGAGTTTACGAGAAATGCTCTCGATCCTAGAAGAGCGGGATGAACGACGCTGATGTTCTGCGGCAAGCTGCCGCCCGATATCAAGACGACAGACACCAAGGTAAGGTCCCCGTCAATCTCTAGAGAATTTTAAGCCATTTACCGAAATAGCAACAACTCAATAACCTCGAAGCAGGATCGTCAAAGAAAATATCCTCCACTGAGGTTGAGGCCGATGAGACTATCGGCTCTTCGGAACAAAAGCCTCCCTTCAACCTAGACAACTCCGACGACGAGGACCTTATTCCACGATTGATCGAAAGGAAGAAGGCCAAATCCATTGTCTCGGGTTTTGCAGTGTCTTGCTCTGTTTCCTCTCACGATGAAATCGGTCGGACAATGGTTGAACAACTGCGGGTGTTAAATATTAGGGAAGAAGAGAGGGAGAAACGAAGGCAAGAGAAGAAATATGTCGAAATAATGGAATCCGACCTTGATACGTTATAGGGCTTTAAATGTATGCTTTACGAGAGTAGACAAAGAGAAATCAAGGCCAAATATAATTTGTCTTAATTTTTTTATTAATGTATTTTTTTAATTAAATGTTCTTTTTTATTGAATGTAATTTTTTAAATTGAATGAATTATTATCATTTAAATTTAATTAAAATAAATTTTATTTAATTTATTTTTAGAAGATGTGCATTAAAATGTAAAAAATAAAAGTTTGAAAATCTAATTTGAAACCCCAGGCTTCAAACTCAGTTCGAATAAACATAAATTCTTCAGACAAACATCTTGCGGGGTATTAGCCCAATTAGCTCTCCTTGTAAAATCCCAATCCACCCTATTTAAAAGGTTTTTGCTATTGAGTAGCAATTATTCCACTGTTCTTTAATTAAAGGTTTGGTTCTTTATGTCTGAACCAGAGCTATGATTATTATACTTGGAACAAACAAGCAAAATAAAGGCCACACTTAACCAAGAAGATCAGCAATCTTGTCCTCAAGATGTGCTTCATGGTCTTCAAGACGGCGGCGCTTGCCTTCATCGCCTTCCCAGAGGATCAACGTGGGGACCCCTTTCAGTTGGAACTTGGGGTCTACCCTCCATGGGTGCTGTGGATTCCTCCATGTAGGTCTATCTCCAACATAAGCCCTAAGCAACGCGACATCGCCGGAAAACTCTTCCAGCTTTTTGTATATCACCGGTTCGGCTCTCACGCAATCTGAGCAAATACAGATGCAGTAAACCAACACAAAAGGTCAGGTGCTTTTGGAAGCTTAAAGTCACAAATGTCTGTCAAGACCTTGTACCAAACTGAAACATACAATCACTCCATGAGCCTAGCTTCAAGCTTGTACAACATTGCATAAACACGGAGAATAATATAATCCCCAAAACCAATGCCGGTCTTGAAATGAGAAAAAAGTCAGAACAATCACGTGCGAAAACATGTTTCAGGACCTATATTTTGTTTTGTGGGGAGAAGTTTTGTTTTACAAATGATTCTAAATTTAATGTTTCATGATCAATAATGCAAAATGACAATGAACTAATATATAATGCAAATTTCCCCCACCTTCAGGACTGGTCCTAAAACTAGAAGCAAAACCCAAATAGAACCATATAATCATCTTCCATTCAACAAGAAACTTGTTCCAAATAGAACAATGCTCCATATATAATCTACCCCCCCCCCCCAAAACTAGGATTTTGTACAGGATTGAATGATAGAAATCCTCTACTAAACGCGAAGCTGGTATGAGGGAGGAACATACAATCTAGCCCTAAAATTGAGGCTTCTAATAAAACCCTAGGATGCACGGATTCGCCGATTCACAGCCGCTCCGTGTTCCGGAACCATTGCTGGGACAGATTGGCCTATGGGAACGGCCGCGGACGATTCCGAAACGTCTTGAAGGATCAAGGATCTGGAATCGTTGCTGACTTAAAGGCACAAAAAACCTAATCAATTACTGTATAATCTAGCAATTGGCATTCCAGTTGTTGTTTATCTTGATCTCAATTTGAAGCTCTTAATGTTCATAGAAGATCCAACATCAACGAGAAGATCAGAGATTTTAACAATCATCTGATTATGCATCTCAGAATTAACTAAGAACAACTGATTATCGAATGATTCATTGCAATTCAGAACAGAATCAATGAAGCAGAATGGAGAAGAACTGAGATAACACGATGAATGATTGAATCGTCGATGAGATGAGGGAGTATGAAATCGGGATACCAGGGCACCAACTGAGTTTGGTCGCGGGATCAACGTCGGCCAAGAAGAGGATGAAATTGGCCTTGTTGTTGGGCGCTACCGCTACGAACTTGTCAAACTCCCCGTCGAAGGTTCCTACGGTGGCGTCCGACGTTTTGAGAGGCATATCTTCTCTTCGTCTTCGTCCTGCAACTGGCCTGCTTGGGTTTGAAGCTCAGGGAAATATTCTTTTATGGGGTTTTTAAGCAAGAGTGTTCCGGCCCTATGATTTGATTTAGAGGGTGTTTGTGAGTTGTGACTGCCTTACCAATTTAGCTTCTCGTTTGAGTTAAATAATTTTACTCTGTTAGGCATGTCAGCTCGAAAAAGTAATTATGAAATATTTTTATTTTCAACTTTTGTGAAAATCACTTTATCCATAAGTTAATGACTCTCAAATACTCTTTTATTCACTCAATAAGAGATTAAGAGGGTGTTCTGCAGTACAGTGCTTTTTGAAATTTAGTTTTTGCTTTAAGTGGTAAATATTTTATTCTATATGACATACCTATTTCTGCTTTTCTTCACTATCATTTTGTATATAGAACATAATTTCGCATAAAGTAGATATATGTCGCTTCTGCTTTCGATTTTATGAAAATTACTTACCTACAAGTTAAGCACTCGCATTTTTTACCTTTATTCATATGGCGTGTTTGGCAAATACTTGCTCTATTAAAAAATATTTGCCTCATTACGCAAAATAAAATGAAATTTAAGAACCACCCTAAATAAAAGTAAAAGATAGAGAAATTATCAAAACAAGAATTTTATGTTTTTATTTCCATCCAAAATATGAGTTACCAATGTGATAATGTTGCATTTTAATTCCTGCTTCGAAAATAAAAATGACACTCTTATTTTAATGTATTTTTAATGTCTTATTCAATGGCCTAAGACCACTCACCATGGTGGAGAGATTTAGTGTGTGGAAATAATTTATAGATCACATTGATAAGATTTTGGGAGGTCTTGAATTTTTTCTAAGAGTTTTTTTATTACACAATATGAGGAAATTTTTTTTCTCAATGGAGTAAGAGAGTGGTGTGAGAAAAGTACTTTTCCCCTGTTGGGAAACTTTTGTAGGAAAAAAATTACCTACATAATTGATGATGTGGGAGAGAGGGAGGATTTTTTTCACGATCTGAAAGAGTAGTAAGAAGGTAAATCACACCCCAACTTGACAAAATAGTAAGGAAATAAAATGCTAGTCTTAGTCTATTCTTTAGAGATGTCCAATGCCAAGGGCAGGTAGCGAGCTCATAGGCTACGACCCAAGCCGTGCCATATGATCCTCGGCCTGACTCTTGGAGTTATAATAGACACATCCACGGATTGAATGGGTGTGGAAAGAAATCGGATTCAAAGCTTGGCTTTCATTGCAATACACAAAGCTCTCTCTAGTCTTGAAATATCAAACTTTTATAAATATATCTACTCTCCCTCCTCCAAAAAGCCCTAAAACCAATCAGTCCCTTCACTGATATCCACTCCCATATAGCAGTGTGTTTGCCATTGTTTCTGGCCTAACTATATGGCTGCTTTGATTTGCTTACTGCTGTAGTGTTTGCGCTGCACAAAAATCTGATCCAGACACTACTGCCACTGCAATTTACTTCTTCAAACAGCCTTTTGTGGGAGCTCCAAATTCGGGCTTTTTTGATACAAGGTTTTGCAATGAGCTTTTTTCATCAAGATCCGAGATTGGTCAAAGCACTGCCAAAATGGGCTTCGTGACATGAACAAAATGGGAAAAGCCATTTGTGATGCAATCAAGGAGCGATTTCTCCTTCCTCTAATTCTTCTTCATCAGGCGGAGTACCATTACCAAAATCTGCCCAATTCCCGTCAAGCACATACTGATCACCAGATAATAACCCGTCAAGGTAAGCATCCGGATCAGCTCCTGCAAACAGATTCGTATATGGATCAATTAGTTTCGGATCAAACTCGAATGCCATCTGGTCAAGAAAAGCCATATCCACAGCCCCTGAGTCCTTATCAGAAGAAATATCCAAAAGCGGTTGTTCTTTAGCTCCCTTTTCCTGAGTGGAAGAAGTAGTAGGTATAAAATCTACATTGGCATTGTGGATGAGGTCTGAAACACGATGATCCGAAGAGTCGCCATCTTCTATCATCTCCTCCTTAAAAGTTACTCCTTTATTACTCAATGGGCTGCCATTGTTACCACAATCCATAGGCTTTGCTTGCTCCGGAACACGAGGAACTGAAAACTCACCATCTTCTATCTCCTCTTCCTTGAAAGTTACTCCCTTGTGACTCGATGGGCTGTCATTCTTACCAAAATCCATAGGATTCACTTGACGACGGATGGAGTTTTTGATAACTTTAAACTTAATGGGGTGTGATGGAAGAAAGACATGGAAGACAGGGTATTCTAATATGACCAAATTAGAGAGTTGTTGGCGTAGTGGGGTGTTGATATCTAGCCGAACGTAAGGAGATTTTTTTCCCTGCATTTGAGCAATAACACTTTCAAAATAAGAGTCATGTTTCAATCGAAGCTGTGTTTTCATGTATTTCTCCAAAAAGAGAACTACAGACAGGTTAAATATGGAGTACAAAAAAATAAATTTAGTTAAACCAACAGATAAAGTTTATACAATATGAGTATGGTCTCAAAGAAAACAGCAAAGGCAATAACCTGGTGACGCTTCCGGATGAACACTTTAAGAGAGTCCAAGGGCACATCGCAAAATTGCTTCAAAGGGTGCTTCCAAGGGCCAGGTTTTAGATGTTTCTCGATCACATCCCGGAGCTTTGTCTTTTCATTTACACTGCATCAGAAAGAATCATTATATAAAGGATGAAATTACTTGTTATGGCGTTTTGTTTGGACACATTGGAATTAAGATTTCTTTTGACAGATGTAAACGCAATTGGTAAGAAACCAAACAGTGAGGGCAAGAAATATATATTTATTACCCGTGGTCCATTAAGACAACATCTTTCTTGGAATTCTTGGAATGGAACTGCCACTCTATAGTCCACGATATAAACTTCAATCTGGAAATTAAATGACAGATATGTTGGGTTTAATGATAGAATTAAACTAATATTTCTTATCAGCATCATAATGGATGGTATCCCGCAAGGTCGAAACTACCTCTTATCGTAATAAGTTAGGTTTTTTTCTCGCTTTGACAATCCGGAAGACATGAAACCGAGTGTTATTCTGCGAGTAAATGCAGCCCTTCTAAGAGAAAGAAGAGGGCGCGGAAGATTGAAACTAGGATGCATACGAAATCTGCTTCTCATTATTCTAGCAGCATCTGCAACCCTTTTCACGTCCTCAAGCATGTTGTAATCTGCAAAACAAAACAAAAAAAACACAAGCTTTTCCATTAGATCAATTCGAACTAAGAAAACCATAGCTTTCATAGAGCATTAGAGCCTATTACGAAACCAGTAATCCACGCAGATACCATTAAAGCGGAAATCAACTCAAAACGCAGGCAAAATTTGTCATAATCTCAGTAAATTAAGGGCGAAAAGGGGGAAGCAAATCCGGGAGCATCGGGAATAAGAAATCGACCTGATAAGATGAGGTTATCGTCGAACTGAGAGATGGGAACGACGTCGTTGAACGGCTTCTTCCCGGTGCAGCCAGATTTCTGCTTGTGAGCTTTGACGCAGGGGAGACTGCAAGTGCGGCGAAGACATCCGGGGCATTTGTATCTCCATGGATTCAATTTGCACTCCTCGCACTGGGCTTCGGAATGCGCTCCCGCCGTTGCCTGAGCTTCTCCGCCACCCATTCCCGTCGAAATCAAAAGGGAGGGCTAGGGTTTAACGGTTTATTGTAGAATCGGGGCAAGCAAAGACAGGAGGAGAGAAACTGGAGAAAACCCAAACACTCTGTACTTCGAAGTTCTCAATTTGGGCTATTTCTGATTTTGGGCTTTGAAATTATAGGGCCCATACCAGAAAATCATCTTAAGAATGAAAATTTTGGGGTGTGAATTATTCAAATTATGTTCACTTTTCAAAAAAAAAACATTATGTTCCCTTTGATATATGGCAAATTCTTCCGTAGATTTGGTCCATGCTTATTTTATGGACCTTAGTGCATTTGTAGCATAAAAGAAGTGAGCTTTTTACAAAATTAAAAATATCCACATGAAAACCTATAAAAAAATATGAGAAAGTCTACATTTTAAATATGGACCATGCATGCATCACTCTCGATTGATACGTTTTTTAGATTCTCATTTTGATCTTATCATATCATAATTTTTCAAAAATTTCATTCAATGTTAACATGTTAAGCTACGAATTAATCTTAGACGACTTGTTATTTCTTGTAACGTTGAAATTGAAAATTCTTTTTGAATATCATTTAAACTTAAGATCATTAGAAAATGAGAATATTATTTTCAAACATCTCAAAATTAAAGATGGAGACGAATAGAATATACTCCCTCCGTCCCGGAGTATTCGTCCAGTTTTGACTTTTGGAACTGTTCATATAAGCACTTTGACTCATCAAATTCTCTCAATGTGTAAGCCTAAATATAGTCATGTGTGATCTTGTTTGATTTGTCTTAACATATAGATTATTAATATATAATTTCTATAATTTTTAAAAATACAAATTACAAGATAAATGTATTAAAGAAGTGTATTGGATGGTGTGTAAAAATGAAAATGGACAAATACTCTGAGACAGAGGTAGTAATTCTTTAATTATCCAAATTAATGTAGAAAATTGCTCGCTAAAACGCCTCCGAATATAAACCTTTTTCTCTTCAAGTAAGGAGGTGACGAAAGGAACATTATCCTAAAATGTTCATACCTCTAATTATGAAAACAAAATTCTATGGTACCTCTATCTTGTTTAATCTAGGCCCTGTTTGGTAAATGACGGTTCATACAGCATTTGGCATCTTTGACCAGAAATGGCTGATTGGACTAATCAAACCTGCAACGTAATTGTTTGGGTAATGACATTTAGGGGCTGTTTGGCAACTTCTGAATGGGTAAGTGCTGAACCAGTAAGAGGTCTGAACCATTAAGTGCTGAACTAGTAAGAGGTCTGAACCATTAAGAGCTAGTATATTGCTTAACTATTCAGAGGCAAATGTCTGATCAATTCAGATAAGAGGTCTTAACCATTCAGACTCTATATAATACTTAACCATTCAGAGGCAAATCTCTTAACCATTCAGACATCTGAACCATTAAGAGGCTGAAACAAACAGTCTGAACCATTAAGTGCTGAACCATTCAGACATCTGAACCATTAAGAGGCTGAAACAAACAGCCCCTTAGATTTGGCATTTGAAGCCGAACAACCAAAAATTGAAAAGCCAACCGTAGGAGCGTTTAGTACAACAGTTGGCAAACTTTTCCATTTCTTACCCTTTTTGTTTTCCGTTCGCCATCTGCGATTCTCACTTAAGGGCCGTTGTTCTCTCTGCGTTTTTCCTCGCAGCAGCAGAAGGGGACGATTCCCTCACAGTACTTGCTCTGCGATTTCTCTCTTCAATTTTTCTCACGACACCAGGTATGTATATTTTTCATAATTTTTTTACATCTGCGATTCTGTTTTTTTCCTCTGCGAATTTGTTTTTTTGCTGTGGTTATGCTTCTCTGTTGTTGCGATTTTGTTTTTTTGCTGCAATTATGCTTCTTTGTTGTTTTATTGCTGCAATTTTGATGCGATTATGCTTCTCTGCAATTTTGTTTTTTACATCTAATTGTTGTAGAACCATCCAAAAAATTTTGGCTGCAATTGTTCTTCCAAAAACGAAACATCAACCATGGTGGGGAATTATGCTTCTCTGCAGTTTTATCCCATGGGCCATTATTGATTTGAGAAAAATTTTAAAACCCTAAATCAACACTTTTGAATTGTATGCAATTTTAGGTAAGTATTATTTGGTGGATAAAGGATACCCTGAAAGAGCTGGATATTTTTGTACCATCAATCTGAGTTTCGTGGTGCAAATCCAAGAGGAAGTCAATAAGTTTTTAATAAAGCGCATTCATCATTAAGAAGTTACATTGAGAGAGCTTTTGGTATTCTTAAAGCTCGATGGAAGATATTACAAATAATGCCAAGATATTCATTAATGGATCAAAACAAGATTATTTGTTCGTGTTTTGCTTTGCACAACTATATTCGAATGAGCACAATTGGTGACCCGGCTTTTCAATTGATTGATGATGACCCTGGTTTTGTTCCCGTAGATGTGTTTGAAGATGTTGAAAGCCAAGTTGCAAATAATGAGATCGTGATAAGAAGTCAGGAAATGAGAAACATCCGTAAGAATATTACTTCTAGTTTGATGGCGAGAAGATCTCATTAGTAAAAAATCGAGAGCTTGTCTGATTTTTTGTCACTTTTAATGCTCATGTCGTCTCAAAAAGTGTTTGATACTTTAGATTGTGATGCTTATATCGAGTAATTTTTTATTTAATTTTTTTAATTTAAAGTTGGTGTAGAGTATCTTTATATATTAATGATATGATATTTTAAAAAACTAAAAAATAAAATATACTATGCACGGTTGTTATTTGTAGAATGACAAATGAAATAAATATAAAAAAAGTCTACTCATAAAATATAAATGTAAATTCTCATTTCTTAAATTATAAAAAAAAATGAAGTAGCCTTTTTTGTCCAAAAAAAAGATGTAGGGATGTCCAGAGTATTTGCTTGTATAATGTGCGTATTTTATCAAAATTAAAAAAAAATAAAAATTGCATACAAATTAACATAAATGGAGGGATGTCCTTTCATGTAATTTTACTTACAAACAGCTAACTATAAACAGCTAAAATTTCCAAACACTTAAAATTTAACCGCTAACAGAAACAGCCGGTCAAAACAGCTAACTCAATCAGCCATTCAAACCAGCCAACATAAACAGCCAACTGCCACTATCCAAACAGGGCCCTAGTAATGAGCTTGTATTAAGTTGACAAAATTTCATTAATGACGATAGGTTTCTATTCGCCATAAGGAGACTCTCTAGAGCATGTACAATGGCAAGGCATATGCTGGAATGCCACACGCTAACATGGCATTGTTGAGCCAATCAAAATTAATCTAGCCACACAGTGGCATGGCATTAGAGTGGTATATCCTGCAGTGGCAAGTCGTTTTTTGTCTTACTTTATATTTTTGACATGTTTTAATCACTTCATTTTATTTTTCTTCAACCCAATATATTTTATTTTTCGTTTTTTGTAAATATTTATCCTTAGTTGTAAAGTCTATACTTTAATTGTTCATAATTATTTTAGTTATTTATTTAAATATGGAAAATTTAAAATAGAGTACAAATTATATCTGTAAATTCTAAAAATTGAATATGAGGTCATATAGAAGTTGTTATAGAAAATGCAAAGAACATAATCATAAAATGATAGAAAATTTTAAAAGTATATTACAACCATTAAAAAAATCCAGGAAGCACACCGCAATAACATTTTGAGAACAAAAAAAAATTGTTTACGACAACTATTGTGGACTTCTACCGATGTTTCTGTTCCACACTTCTTCTATCAAGTCCGCCTTGAGACGTGCATGTCCATCGAGATCCCTCACACGAGCTGATTGACGGAAGTAAGTTTCCCAACACGGGTGACGCTGTCGTATATTTGATGTCGGAGTGGAACCCTCAACTTCATTCTACTCGTACTTCATCACTCTTTCAATCACTAAATCTATATTTAGATTTATGCATTATATATTATAATTTTCTGAGTATCTCTACTTACAAGCACATTACATATGTAAAAACAAATGTTGTTTTCATTAGACTTTGAGGCCAATGCTGCATACAAATATATAATGCATTTACAGGCACATTGTGTTATGAGTGCATATTGTGAACATTAACCAAATATCATTTTTTTTAATGGGGGATAGGAGTTAAACTAAATATTGTGAGCTGACTTGATTTACTCATTATAGAAAAGGTGTGAGCACTTCCTACATGGTTAAGAGCTTACTGCCCCTGTGTTGTGTGTGTGTTATCTATTTGTTTAAAAGATTTTTTTGACAAATGCACACTAGATCATCCTTTTATAAATGGTAAAATGTAAGATTCCTTTCCTTGACAAATCCCACACTAGATCTTCATTTTATCATTTTATCAAACATCTTGTGTGTACTAGAATAAAATTTCATCATCACAATGTAATAGAAGAATCACAATGAACTCACAATACATAATAAAACAAAAAAAAAGAGGACTTGCAGATGAGATTGGAGAAAAGAGAGAAGTGGTAAATTTCATAGCAATCAAACAAGAGATGAGTAGCAGTGAATTTCATAGCAATCAAACAAGAGATGAGTAGCAGGGGTACCTGATGAGCCTGCGAAGAGGGTGGCAGGCATTGGTGGCGAAAGAGAACAGTCATTTTCACGGAGGTTGCAGCAAATGATTTACGCAAAGGACGGAGAGTAGAAGGGACTGATTATTTACTAGATGCCTCGCAAATCGAAGTGGCTTGCAGCATTCCACGCGATCCAATTTTCACCACTCCAGCTGTGTCAAGAGAAATATTTGTCGCTGCCAATGCTCTTAAGCTCATCTATATGGAGACTCTCTCAAGTGTGCAATATTTCTCAACTTAATCACTCTAACATTGTATTCTCTTCAATTGATTTGATCTAATTTGAACTAAATTTTTTAAGGTTGATTTGATTTGAATTACTGATCTGAACGAATCTAATTTGAAGTCAAATTCAATAATAATATGAGTAATAAAAATTGTTAATATTATTATTTGAATTTGAATTCAAATAATAATAATAATATTCAAATAATAATAATAATTAGATTTTGAATTCAAATTATTATTATTATTATTAACATAAAAATTTACTCAATACGAACATAATAATAGAAACAACAACTATTTCTATAACTACTATTATTATTATTATTAGTATTACTATTATCTTAACATTATTTATCTTTTAATATTTTTCTAATTTGATTTAAATGAATTTTGAGTTGATTTAATCTGAATGAATCTGATCTAATACCAATCAAGTTTCAATAAAAATAAGTAATACTTCCTCCGTCCCACTATATTTGTTCACTTTCATTTTTGCACACCATCCAATACACTTCTTTAATCCATTTTATCTTGTAATTTGTATATTAAAAAATTATAGAAATTATATATTAATAATCTATATGTTAAGACAAATCAAACAAGATCACGCATGACTATATTTAGGCTTACACATTGATAGAATTTGATGAGTCAAAGTGCTTAGATGAAGAGTTCCAAAAGTCAAAAGTGGACGAATATAACGAGACGGAGGGAGTAAGTAATAACAATGACTTAAAGATAACGGTGTCTGATCTAACTCGTGACTCTCGATTTCAAGTCATTATTATATACAAAAACTCGTAACAATTTTGAAAATGAAGAGCGTTAAACAAATTGGATTATACAAGTTGAGCACTGTATATCACCCTAACCCCGGTTAAACCCCCTCACCTTGGCCCGACCCGAACACACTCTCACTTCCTCCAATTGCACTCTAAAGTCAAAATCAACTTGTAGGGTGCAATTGAAGGAGGTGGGGGTGTGTTTGGGTCGGGGCAGGGTCGGAGGGTTTATCGGAGGTTAGGAGGGTAGAAAACGTCAATTTTGCGAACGGGAAATCAGAGCGCCCCCGTATTTATATTGTCAGACAATATCATGGGAACCGTTCCCATATACTCCCTCCGTCCCAAAATATTCACAACATTAGCTTTTTCAGCAGTCGCGAGAATTTTTGTTTATTTCTACGTTTTCATTGGTTATTTGATAAAATAAAATATTCTTGACACCTCTTATTTCGAAAAACTTTTCATGTAGTTTTTTGATATGTAAATTTTGTTTTTTATTTTTATACCAATATGTAAATAAAATAAATTGAAAAAACTTAATATTTTATCTCGAGAATACAAGTGTGACAAATATTTAGGGACGGAGGGAGTATTTAATAGTGGGTATATTATTTCTCTACAGTCTAGAAAATAGAAAGGGTGGAGTAACTAATACGTACTTCCAATTAAAAAAAAGTTAGAATGATTACATTTAAAAGTATTTCAGTCATTAGCATTTTTTTTGGAAATTATTTCTCTAATTCTTCTCTACAAAATCATTTCCACCAGCTTCCCTTCTTCGGCACTGGCCATCATCTTCCACAATCTCACTCTTCTTCCATTTTCAGGTATTCCATTCCTTATCTAAGCTCATCGCCACTCTTCCCTGCTTCAACTTCTAACTTTATCAAACATTGTGTCCTGTTTCGATTACTATCCAGAAATGGAGCACGATTATTCGATGTTTCTATCATTAATGTAACTTTTAGATCTGTGGACCGGATTCCATATCTGAAACACTACTGTGCAGATCTTCTGTTCGACCTGTATTTCTGAAGATGTGTTTGAATATGCTTTTCTCGTTTGAGACAGGGATTTGTTTTTTTTTGTTTTCCGTCAATTTTTAGTTCTTGAAAATAACAGAGTGATTTGTTCTTTGGCGGTGTTTTGAATACTAGGAGTATCTAATTCATCTTCTGTGTTTTTTTAAAGTCATTTCGAAATCTGCATTATTCAGATTTTTCTATTGCTTAGGGAAACTGAAGTTATTATGCTGAGATGTTGGATTGCTAGTGTGAAAGAAGTGAACTTTTTTACTTCGATTTATACAGTGAGGGCACTAACTATTTTCATCGAAAGATTCTCGCTGGGAGGGAATTAAAAAAATAGAAAAAAATGGATCTTATTATTGGGAGCCATAAATGTCTAAAAGCTATCATTATTGCTATAGTTATCCTTAAGTAGTAAATAATTTTCTTCTGTTGCTCAACTCCTGCTCCCCATTGTACATTGTACATTTTATTGAAAATCATACAAGACAAAAAACTGAAGCTAATTATAAACAAGAGAGAGATGCTCCGCTATCATCATGAGGGCTTCTATTACTGGAAAGCCTAATTTTATCATTGACGCTGCTTCTTGAGTCAGTTTTTGCAGGAAAATTGGCAATGAACTGCATTGTTATATGTAGATATATACTTGTAGATATCATTACCTAATAAGTTTAATGCCACATTGATTTTGTGATTTCACTGCCATGTTGCCCCTATTTGTTTTTCATGAACAAATACTATATCCACTTGAGAGTATGTTTGGGGGCAAGATCTACACAAATCTTACCTATTCTTCGAGTAGAGAGGCTGTTTGTGGGCCGTATTACTTTTTTAATATCTGTTGTCCATTAGATCTTCAAATGTCTGGCATTGTTCCCTGTATTGGCAAAATAGTCTTTCCGATTCTTCTACAGGTAACAAAGCATGTGGCGGTTTAAGCATTTTGCCCATAAGGAACAGAGCGGACTTGAAGGCCGCACCATTGATGTTGGCAATCTCAAAGTTCATGTTCGCAACATAATCGCAGAGGGCGGGTTCTCTTGTGTTTATCTGGCCCGAGATGCAGTCCATGGTTCAAAACAATATGCATTGAAGCACATGATATGTAATGATGACGAGTCTTTGGAACTAGTTCTGAAAGAGATCTCTGTCATGAAATCACTCAAGGGGCACCCTAATATCGTCACACTTTGTGCTCATACGATCTTAGATATGGGACGCACCAAGGAAGCTCTAATTTGCATGGAATATTGTGAAAAAACTCTAGTTGGTGTACTTGAGGGAAGGGGGTCTGGTTATTTTGATGAAAAACAGATACTGACAATTTTTAGAGATGTTTGTAATGCTGTCTTTGCTATGCATGGACAATCTCCCCCCATTGCCCACAGGTAAATTTCACATTTACGGTAAAGAAACCCTTATATTTTCTCCAAAATATTTTTAGTCATCCTACACTATTTTATTTTTAAAACACTTAAATTTCTTTGATGATTTTAACCTGTAGGGACTTGAAGGCAGAGAATCTTTTGCTAGGCCCCGATGGGTTTTGGAAACTATGTGATTTTGGTAGTACCACTACGAATCACAAACGGTTTGAGAAGCCTGAAGAGATGGGGATCGAAGAAGATAATATTAGGAAACACACTACACCAGCTTATAGAGCCCCAGAGGTTATTGAGTTGCCACGATCTATTTGTACACCTATTATCTTTGTTGAGCATTGAGCGATTGACTTAACTATGTTCTTTTTACACCTCAGATGTGGGATCTTTACAGAAAAGAACTGATAAATGAGAAAGTAGACATATGGGTAAGTTGTCTTACTCTTACTAATGTGCAACAAACTGACGTAGATGTTAACCTCAATGAAAATTTTAAAGCTCCATAGTTTATAGGATTAACTATGCTTTTTGTACATATAAATACTCCGTATATTTAACAAATTGGTTAAGTTTTTCTAAAATTCTTTTTTTTGTTATCCATCTCTATAATTTACACTTTTTTTTCCTTTTCAGCTCCCCTCTGTCAACCTCTGTAAATAAAACTGGCATTTGCTTCTAAAACCTCGAGTCTTGCTTTTTTCAGTAACTCCTTGACGACTATTAGGGGAGTTATTGCTAAGTGAAACTCACCACTCACAGTCTCACACTTTCAAATCATGCCTCTCTCATGCTTTTTTAAAAAAAGATGTGGAAAGCCATGTTGGAAATCTGTGATCCACATCGGCGTCTTTTTTTAATTTTCTATTGGAGGTTGATGGAGAGACTAAAAGAGAATGATGTAAAACTGTAAATACCTTGGTTGAATAACAAACAATATATATGTAGGTATTGAAAATAAAATTTGCTATATATTCAAGAAAGAAAAAATGTTTTAGTCCAGGTTTTATCATCATTTGTTTACTTGGACTATTATGGACAGGCTTTAGGTTGCCTACTGTTCCGTATATGCTATTTCAAGTCTGCATTTGATGGTGAATCAAAACTACAAATCTTGAACGGGAATTACCGCATTCCAGAATTACCAAAATACAGCACCGCCATTGTAGACCTTATTCGGGATATGTTACAATCTTCACCAGATGCCCGACCAGATATCATGCAGGCAAGCGCTTTGATCGATTGGACATTCATCTGCATGAATTTAGGTTAGTTAGTAGATCAGAGCTGCCCATGAAAGTAAGGAGGGCTGACTATTCTCTAAAGCTGTTCTCACACCTTTTCCCTTTTTTTGTGGCTCAGGTGTGGTTCCGAGCTAATAATTTGTTACCCGATGGGCTACAGAAATCATTGCCTGATAGAGCTCCCGAAATGATGCAACAAGTGGCTGATTTGCACGATGGTGAGTTCCCCTCTTTGTATCAGATCATTGTTTCAGGATGCTGGATATTGGAATTTTCAACAAAAAAAGCTGAGTTAACGTTTAACCATTAATTGGTTGTAATATTGCGATGACTTGAACCTTACAGGTTGTTTACTAACTACCTATATTTGGCTGCTCATCGTGCTTGTAGTTAGTGAAGTTGCCCACCAATTTAGTCCCCCCTGCCCCTTATTCAGGCTCTAAGTGTGGCTTGGCATACATTTATACAATTTTTCCTACTATTTGACTTCTAAATTTCCCCTTAGATTAGTGGCTGGGAGTAGAAATGATGGTAGGTAAGGTCCACTAGGACATTGTTAGTAAATTTATTTTATTACCAAATAAAGAAGATGACTTGATTTGGATACATGCATTAAAGGAAAATAGGAACTTTATTTAAAGATGAAGGGGGTACATTTTTAGAAATCCAGTTATTTTAATTATCCATCTTCACCTGAACCTTTCTGCTTAGCTTTGTACTCTATTAAACATCAATGGTTGAAAAGTTAGAATATTTTGTAATGTTGACACAGTTGTTATTTCAGGTACTCCAAAAACAGCAACCAAGACAAATCCAGTACCTCGAAGAACTCCACCACCACCTCCCCCTTCTGCTGGAGAGACAAACCGTAATTCACCACAGTCTCATAACCCTGGGATGCATGGGGCCAATGACCCTTTAGGTGCTTTTTGGAACACTGAACATGCAAAGAATGTAGTCCCAGATGACAAAACTAGACCTAGGTATGATGAAGAATTGAGTAGCTATAATAGAACAAGTTCTTCAAGGGCAGTCAACAGAGCAAGGGATGCTGCAGATTCTGAAACAATTTTTTTCGACGGTAATTCTGACCAAAATAATGAAAGAGATAAATCATTCAATGCTTTTGTGGCGGAGTTTAGCAGCAATGGACACGGTTCTGAAGGCAACACTAAGAAATCTGGGAAAGAAGAACTATTAGAGGCTGAGGTCGAAAAGCTGAAGGAGCAGCTGACACATGCCAACATGGAGAAAGCTGAAATAACTTCTAAATATGCAAAACTATCCGCCATATGTCGCTCACAACGACAGGAGATACAAGAACTTAAACAAGTTCTTGCTGCTAAAACTCCATCGCCGAATAAAGATGCCTCCAAAAACCAAACGCCTCTTTCAAATCAAACATTCAGTACTACTACACATGTACTTCTCTAGTCCTCTTTGCCTTGTTACTCCCTTCATCCTAAAATAAAGTTTAGACTTTTCTTTTTTGGATGTCCCAAAATGAAGTCTACACTCTACTCCTTTTCACTTTCCTATTAAGGAAAAGAATTTGTGGCTCACAAAACTTCTATCTTCTATACCAATTTCAACCATGCACATTTTTTCTTTCCAACATTTTCTTAAACTCTATTTTGGGATGGAAGGAATTTTTTTTTTTTTTTGCATTCAAAGGGCATGCCTTGCATAAATGGTGGGTCCGTTGAGTCGGGTCTCTCCACATGTGTACTAGACGTACATGGTTCAAATCCACATGGCTCGGCTAGGTTCGGCTTTGCTTAATATGAGCCTGGCCTAAGCTCTACATGTCTCGGCTAGTTAAGGTCTAATAGATCTTGTTTACTTGATACTATGGCCTTGTTTGTGAACAACGCTTTCGATTAGCGTTAGCGTTTTGGATAAAATTTTAATAGTGTAGAGTTACTTTGAAAATGCTAAAGCAGTCATTAGATAGCCTCTTAGAAATGCTAACTCTAATCTATATTGCTGAAGCCAAATGGGCCCTATATTCATGCACAATTTGATCACTCTAAAATTGGTTTGCACTGGTAATTGGGGCATAATTGAGACTTCACTCGTATGTTGCTCATGAACTTGTTTGGCTCGGGCTATTGAGCTTGGAACCATTGGAGTTCTAGCATGAAACCTTAACAAGCTGGGCTTTAGCTAGACCCGGGAACATGTTTGAGTTAATCCCAAAATATGTCTAACCCGTGCTCGGCATTGGCCATCTAATTCCCTTAATTTTTTTTATATTTGCATTTCACTATGGTTTTAGCTTTTGCACCGTTTCTTATTGTGCAGCAAGGGGAAAGCATCCAAGGAACCATTTGGGAACTCCAACAAGGATTGTTCAACCAGAGCCCATCAAGTCCAGATGACCCTAAGCCATGGCAGGCCTTCTCAGATGACAGCTGCCGTAAACCACCCACAAATCCTCCTAGCAACACGCCACGTTCTATGAGGACACGGGATAACAACAACAACAACAAGAAGGAGGCTTCTGATACAAGTTGGGGATTCGGAACTGACAGCTTCACGGCACTTCCTTCCGTTACCTCTCAGGTGATCCCTTCTTTTAAAGAACTCAACACTTCTATGATGAAGGGCACGGGGAACAGGTCGTCTTCCCAACCTGCTGGGTGGGCAGGCTTCTGAGCAAATTCATGAAAACAGTCAACTTCAGCTGGCTGGCTGGCCTCTACTGCTCTACTTAATAATTCCTAATATAACAAGATTTTCTAGTCTCATAATAATAGTACTGTAAAGAGAAGGAAAAAAAAAAAGAATGGTGGTGATGTTGAATTTGTTGTGAAGAGAGTTGTAACTTTTTTGCCCTCTGATAATTACATTTCTGCATGATGTGAGCCTTATCTTTGTGAAGAACTATCCACATATGCTAATATGAGTCTTTATGCACACATTTTTCTTGTTTATTTTCATTTAATTACAATGAAGAGAAATTGTATTGATTTACTTTTAATATAGAAAATCAACACATTAAATTTATTAGTAATAGTGTGCATTATACATTAAATGAGGCATTGTTTTTTTTCTAAATTACCCAGTGTAGTTTTTTTAAATATAAAAAGGACCAAGTCCATTAATGATTGGAAAATGTTTCTTGGTACCCTGATTACATAAATTACATGTCGCATTCTATCATTCCTCTATAAGCTCTATCATTAGTGCATTTTTTTTAGAATTTGATTGATGAAATTGAGTCAGATGTGAAAACATAACATTAAATGCCAATAAGACTTCGATATTATATAAAACTATGGTTAAATGATGGATGAAGTTGAGCTTGTAACTTTTTACTCTCTCCGTTTCAAATTAAGTTGTCTTTTTGTTATTTTTAGGGTTAAATTTCATTTATTTTCTTTTTCTATTTTTGTTAATAATTTAATAAAATGATATAGTCATGTCACTACTAGTTTGTAGATATTTCGATGACCCTCTTGTGATTTATACAATTCCGAACTTAGTTTCAAATGGTTTATAATTTTAGAAAATATAAATATACTAGAACAAACAATACCATTATTGTCACAAAACTAGTTTTCTATTAAACTATTAATATGAGTATAACTAAATAAAAATAAATAAATTGGAACAATTTTTATTCTAATTATAAAATATAGAAAATGCAACCATAACTTCTACCCTCTTCGTCTCAGAGTATTCGTCTAGTTGATTTTTTCGAGTCAAACTAGACAAATTTTAATCATCAATCATTATCAATTTGTATTGCATATTAATTCAATAAAATAAATTTTTGAAAGCTCTAAACAAGTTAAATATATTAAAAATTACTTTTATACTAAAATAGACTACAGTTCTTACTTAATAAAATCATCCGACTTGACTTAAAAAGTCAAACTAACCGAAAACTCTGGACAAAAATATAACTTTTTTAATTGAATTTGTTTCTAGTACAATTTCAAAACCCTTAATACTCATTCCGGTTCGGGTTCCAATTCTGAACCGCAATCCTAAACAGCCGAGCTAAGTGAGATCCGAACAGGGGGAAAAAACCCAATTCGGATATCGATTCCGAAAATTAACCCGAATTAAGAAAACAGTTTCACGTCCGGATTTCCCAATTCATTCTCGCCCTTGTCTGTCTTCGCTATCTCGCTGAATCACAGAGCTGAATCGCCTGTTTCTAAACCCTAATCCCCTGATTCCCGCCTTCAATTTGCAAGTTTCTTGAACCTCTCCTCTGTTCTGCGGCTTTTCCTGGACTTTCGGAAACCTTTCAGGCGAAGCATAGCCAGCTAGGGTTTCTCGAAGCTCGCCTGCGAGCTGGCTATGGAGTACGGGGCGTACGACAGCAGCGGTGAGTAGTAATTCAGTTCTAGTAGCATAAATGTCTGATCTTTGAAGGAAATCTTTAGGGTTTTGCGCTGCGGCTACAATTTTCTTTTTTTATTCATTCAATTCGCGCTAGGATTGAATTCTCGCAATTCTTGAAACGAAGAAAAAAAGAAGAGTTTCTCAGTTTGGTTTCAAAATGTGGGGAATGGAATTCCTGTCTTAGAAATTTTGAATTGGGCAGTGAAAGGGGCAATTAGAAGTGGGAGAATTAGCAGTGTTTGTTATGATTCTAAACAATTACTTCGCGTGCGAAGTTAAGGGCTTGGTAGAGTTTGCGCCATTTAGTTTAAAAACATGAACAATTTTCATGCAAATTCATGAGGTGCACGAAAAATAAAGGTTCAAGGTACAATGTTTTTTTCTTCCCTGTAGGGACTGATGACGATCTTCCACCCACACATCAAAATAGAATTCCCAGAGGAGGACGGGTTGCTGGTAATGGAAGATCTTCTGCTGTCATGGCTCCGATGCCTTATCCCAAAGGGTATGGAGAAACTGATATGGAGGCTCAAATCCACCAGCTTGAGCAAGAAGCTTACAGTTCAGTTCTTAGAGCCTTTAAGGCACAGGCTGATGCCATTACTTGGGTATACTTTATTGTTTGTATATTCAATTCTGGTTCTAATATTTTTATATTTGTTTGATCAGGGTTTAAATGAATCCTCAATGAAATGTGTTTTCTTCAGGAAAAGGAAAGTTTGATAACTGAGCTTAGAAAAGAACTGAGATTGTCAAATGAAGAACACAGGGAGCTTCTTGGTAGAGTCAATTCCGATGATGTTATCCGAAGAATACGGTTAACTTCTTTCCCACTTCCTTTAGGCTATGTTTGGAGCACATAAAATGGTAGGGGAAGGAAACAAAATGACATGGAAAAGTTTTTTTTATATTTGGTGTATCTGAGAAAATATAAAGGCAAATCAGATGTGATAAAAACATTTTAAAGTTGTGCATATTTTTAGATGTCTTAGTCTTTGATGTTTATATTGTAAAAATAAAGACAAAACATGAGTTTGAACAAATAAATTAAATTGATTTCCTGTATTTTAACGAAGTGTTTCTCTTTCCTTCCAAAATTCACTTCTATTTTCACTCATAAGCATTTTCCAGTTCCCAAACGGACTCTTAAAAATCTGAGTCTTGGTTTTGATGTTTTGCCAATTTGGTTAGGGAGTGGAGACAATCTGGTGTGAATCAGCAAGGCATAATGAGCACTGTTCAACCTGTTCATGATCCAGTACCCAGCCCTTCAGTTTCAGCTCCTAGAAAGAAACAGAAAATACCCCCGTCTTTACCCCCTCAATCCTTTGGTGGGCCATCACCCAGTTTTCACCCACAGACTATGATTACACAGAACCAACCACCTTCCTTGGCTCCTGCTGCTCCACAGAGAGGACCTTTAATGGGACCCAAGGGGAAAAAACACAAATCTGTAAGCTGAAGTTGGATCTTTCAAAGTTAGTTTTTGTTTTCTCATCTGGTGTCTAATTCTTTTAAATGGTCAGATGCCGCCTGGTATGAAAATGCAATTTCCTCCATCTGGGAGAGGTCAGTTTTCCAATCGGATTTCTCAGCCTGCTGACGGAGTGTCTAATGAATCAATGATTGGGAGGAAACTGAGGACTAGGTGGCCCGATGACAATAATTTCTACGAGGCTGTCATTACTGATTATGACCCAACACTGGTGTGCCTCTTTTATTTTAATCTTCTTCCGTCTTCATAGAAAATGGATGGACTAAATTTATTATAATTCGGATCATAATGGGTTGATTGTAAACAATATGTTAATCCATTTATGACATATAAGATCAATGTCCATGATCTATTTTATAAAATCCATCATATAAACATTATCGTTTTTACCGAAGGATATCTATTGCATTTAAGAAAAAAACAGGTGGATCAGTAAGCATCTGTGTGTTACAAATGGATGGATTACATGTAATCCAATACCATTAACGTACTAATGGAAGTTTAAGATAAATTTTCCTTTTGATGGTTCATATCAATAATAAATAAATGTATTTTTTTTGCTATCCCTACTGTTTGGGATTGTACTTTACTTCCAAGTAGGGGTAAGGTTTGCGTACACACACCCTCCCCAAACCTTACTCTTGTAGATTCAACTGAGTTGTTGTTACTATCTGGGTTGGTGAATGCTATTTATATTTGTACCCTATTCAGGGACGACATCGTCTTCTTTATGACATGGAGACCGAAAGCGAGACATGGGAATGGGTGAAGCTATCAGAGGTAGTTTTAAATACATATCAGTTTTATGAATAGTGTGTTCGGTCCAAACATTAAAAGGATGCTTGTGTAGTGGTAAACCGTTTTATTACTTTTGACATAAAGTCATGTCACATTTTCTACTAAGCTTGTTTCTATTGTTTGATGGCTTGGCCGTGACAAACCATTATTGTGCTCACCGTTTTTGTCCCAAATAGGTTTTACCCCACCCAAATTTTTCAAGATTTTCTCATTTTTAACTGTGAAAACTTCCCAAAATTACCTCTTCACGAATCCTTTCTAGGTAGGGGTAAGTAGGTACAGTGTACACACATCTCGATCTCCCCAGACCTTACTTCCTCATACACACACACCCACACACACACACACACACACACACACACCCTCCATCCCAAATTAATTTGTTCACTCTGACTTCATGGTGATTAAGAAAATCATTGAAAAGATGTTGAATAGTGAAGCATGAGTGATTAGAGTTAGTTTACAAGAGAGAGAGAGAGAGAGAGAGAGAGAGAGAGAGAGAGAAGTAATGCAGACCATATATTCCTTTTTCTAAAAAAAGAGAGAAAAAGTAAGAAAATTATTTTGGGACAGATTAAAAGTGAACGTGTGAAAACTACTGTTGTGAGATGGAGTGAGTATATAGAAGAAATCCTTGCTTGTTAATTTGCAGTGATATTTAGGCCTACGTCTCATGTGAATGCAGTTGCACGTTTCTTAAGATTATTACATTACTTAGAGGATTGATTTATTTATTTTTGACATGGCTAACAGATTTCTCCAGATGATATACAATGGGACGATGGCCCAGGCCTTATAATCAATAGAACAATGGGCCGTGATAGTGCCCCGGGTGTAGGGAGAGGCCGCGGCATGACTAAGCCTCAATCTAGAAAAGAGTTTCCGCCGTCACAAAATGGCATTGGAAAGAAAGTCTTGGGTGATATTCAGTTACTTCACACAGATACGTTGATCAAGGAGGTACGGAGCTGCAATATGATTACTATAAACTACTCTATTTTTTTCCCCACAAAAGACACAAAGAGCCCACGCGGGAACTAATGCCAAAAATGAAAATAATTCCACAATGCCCACAATGCCAAAAATGAAAATAATTCCGCGTGAACTCACGTTGGCCCATGTAAGTTTAATGGGACCCACGTGATTGCATTGGCGCAGCCAAAATTTAAACTTGCGCTAGGTTGCAAAAAAAAAGATTCATTAAAACATGGTAGGGAGTAGTAAAAATCTTGCACATTGATTATTTTACGACAAAGAAAAAAAGTTACTCGGATGCACACATTAAAGTGAGCAGGCGTTTTAAGAGAACTTGGGTTTTCATAATTGTTAGGTGGAGAGGGTATTTAGTGCAAGCAATCCAAATCCATTGGAGGTTGAAAAGGCAAAGAAAGTGTTGAAGGTTAGAAGCTCATCATCTCAATGCTATTATTACGGTTTACAGAGTATTATATACTTCATCCGTCCGCCATATATATTCCCAAATGTCCTTTTTGTTTGTATGTGAAAGATCTTCCCATTACTTTTTTAACATTTAAGATACCACAACTATCCCTAGTTTATTTATTATGCCTCACTCACCTCATTTAGCATTCTTCACCCAATTTCATTGAATGCGTTTTAGTAGACTTTCAACCTTTTTCATTTCTCCATAAAAATCTCAAAAAGTCAACTTGGGAAGATCTATGGCAGACAGAGAGAGTAAATATATTGCAAAGAGTGAGTGATTCTAAATGTATGGCTTGCAGGAGCATGAGCAAGCACTTATAGATGCCATTTCAAGGCTAGGAGATATCTCTGAAGGTGAACATGGTAACTTCACTTTAAACCCTTCATATATGTTTTTCCCCTTCATTTATGCTATTTTTTTTTCTATTACACTATTATTTCTTACTAGATGGTGGCATTGTGTACTCCCTCCTTCCCAAAATAGATGTCAATGCCCACTATTTATGTGGTGAACTTTATCCTATTGCTATTTCCTATTTTATACGGAGTAAATACTTTGATTTAGTTTTTAAATATATAAGCATTATTTTTAAATTTTACACCCAACAGTTTGAAAATAAATTCAGTCAAACTTCCCGAGCCGTAAAGCAACATCAATTTTGGGACGGAGGAAAAGTATAGTTACTCTGCATCAACTCGTGCTCTCTTTTCTTCGTAATTTTATCTTCACATTCCCTTTTTGCCATTCGCTTCTCTTTTCTAAATAGATTTTGATAATCAGTTTTCATTTTCTTAAAACTCGTTTTCGTGACCGATCGTACTCCTGAATAACAGCAGATGAACGCGGTCATTTCATGCACGGTCAAGAATGATGAAGTGCGATGTCCCGGTCAGTTAGCACTGTGGTGGTTTTTGGGAGGGAATTGTTTACTTTTAAAATTATAGTGGAGAGATATAGTCACATGAAGAAGGATGATATAAGAAAAAGAAGAAGCCTTTTTGTTGGGGTTTTTCCAGTGTTTGTGTAAAATGGCAGCTTAGCTTTGTTTGTAAAATGCTCCCCTCCTTCAACTGTAACTTGTACTCTAACAAACAACTGAAGAGGTCAACTTGGAGATTATGTCCTAAAGTTGCCTCATATTCCTAGGGTAGAAGAGGTTAATTAACATGAGATGTAAAATAGACAAATTGTTTTTTTTTGTCAGGTTGGAATTGTTCAAATGGTATTTCATTAGATTTATGATGTAAAGAACCAAAAAGAGTGCAAAATCTACAAATCTTTCTCAACACTATTTGACTTTTTTTTGTTTTGGTGGCCATCACCACCCACAAGTTGTTAAAGAAACCTAGTCAGTGTATAACTTGCACTAAAACTTAATGTCCCACACTTCATGTGTTTACCTCTTGGCTCGTTTCTTTGGTTGTTTCGAATGCTCCTCGGAGATCGCCTCTCTCCCCCTTGTCCGAGGTCGCCCCACGCCCTTCTTCGCCGGGAACTTCTCTTCTGACTTTTTTGCCCCACTTTGCGTTGTTTTGGACGCTGTTTCTTTCTTTTCTATACCCTTACCCTTCTTCGGCTGCTCTTTTCCGTTGTTTTTCGCATCACCCGGAGACCTCTTTGTCGTGTCGGGTGGCAATGCCGCCATCTCCTTGGCCGGAGAACTCTTCTTGATCCTCTTCAAGAAGTTCGCCGCGCCTCTCTTCTTGTCATTGCCACTAAAGCCGCCGCCGCCGCCTTCCTTCTCTGTTGCTGCATTGGTGACTTCGTCTTCGCTCGTCTTGTTGGGTTTTTTCCCGCTCGGGCGCCCTTTGTTGCCGGCCCTCATGCTCCGCACGCCCGTCGCATGCCGCTCTTTCCTCTTCGGACTGTCTAAGCCGCTGGGAATTTCTTGGCTTGTCTCATCGGCGGAGGCAGTGGATTTGGCCGCGGCAGTGGCGGATAGGGAGCTTCTCTTGCGGCAAACTACAATTGGAGCAACTCTAGGGTTGCTGCCCTTGGAGAGCAAAGGCCCAGGGTTGTCCGGTTCGGGTTCGGGTTCGGGTTTGGGCTGGACCTTGGCGGGCATAGAACGATTGGTCAGTGATTGTGGGGTTTTCTTGTTCAGGGTCTTGAGGTTTTTCGTGATGAGGGCGCGGAGTTCGTGGGCCGCCGCCGACTCCGGCGAGGAGTTGGGGAAGAAGACAATGGCGTTGTTGAAGAGGAGCAAAAGATCCAAATAGAATTTGGCGGGGCAAGAAGAGTAGGATCCGTCATCTAACCGGGCTTGAACCGTTTCAAGATCCACATGTCTCCGTATTATTCTCTTGTACTTGTCCGTTTTCTGCATTGCACAGCAAGATTACGTCACCACTAGCAATAATCAAAATTTGAATTAACTAAAAAACACATACTTTTAGTACATTTTTTAAAACAATTTGAGATTAGAATTCTCAGTATGCCCTAATATTTGACTAAAATATTTTAAAAATAATTTGATAGAAAATTGAGAAAATTTAAAAATAAAATATATACATTCAAAACATACATAAAAACTTTCTGTTTATTATTTGCATGAAATATTAATTGATGCATTCTCTTCTACCCAGCATTATTTAATCATTGAAAGTAGTGATAATCATTTGGTGAAATTGGATAATCATTTGATAACCATTTGAAATATTGTGAGAGTTTATATGAATGAATGCTCCAATAATGCCAAATAAATACAGGTTATGTGTTGTATATTAAGAGCCACCCAAATGTATGAACAAATTGGGCTGAACATGTCAAAGTTATTCGGCTATGATTAATATAAGTCGGGCCTAAACTACAAAGCTCATCCGTCCAACTTAGGTTTGGACCCGCGTAATATGGATCGGGCAAGCCTAACAAAAAAGTGGGATCCGACTCATTGGGCAACGAGCTTGTATGCACTAGGGTTAGGTCAACCTCGTCACGGCTGCCACTTTGACACTACAAATGCACTTTCTCCAAGCCTAGATAAGGGATCAAACTCCTACTCTAATTTTCTCTTCAACTTCGAGTAATAGACTTGTTCTTTTCACCTGATCTGAATGGTTTTGATCTGATTAGAATCAGTTCTGATTAGATCTAAATGTAGTTATATTTAAAGTTGTTTCTGATTTGATCTGATCTGGACTGGTTGGAATGAGTTCCGATCTGATCTAAAAACAGACACTTATTCTAATTACTAATTCTTATTGGAATCAGAGCATATCAGAAACACCTTTAATACAACTACAATCATACCAGAACTTATTTCAATCAGATCATAATCAATTAGATTAGGTGAAGAGAACAAATTATAAATGATTGTTTATATGCTTCAACTCCCTAATATTTAACAATCTACTTTCCATATTATTCTCAAATCTGAGTCCCTAATCTTGCACCTCAATTCTCTCATCTCCTATTACAACAAAATTTCCTTAAATCAAAAATATTCTCACTGGCCTAAGCCCTTCTAATGTCTAGCCCGTTCACGCTTCCCTCTCGCATCCGGTCATAATTCCACAACCCTCTGGGCTTGAGCTTGATAGGCCCACTTATTTATTTAACTCGTGGACCCAATATCCATCAGGAAAAGATCGAAACAAAATGGCTTGAATGCATATAAATTTGGTTGGATACGCATCCTAAATTCTAACACGCATCTCATTATATGAGTCAATAATGATTTGGTTCAGGTATGACTCAGGTTTAGTTATGATTTGGTTTGAGTCTATTTGATTCAAGTTTCATTTGGGTTTGACATAAGTTGTTTCATTTTCGATTCAATTCTGCTCATCTCAGAGTTGGTAATTGAGTATTCTCTTATACATGTTATTGGGAATTCAATTTAAGGTTGTTCGGTTTGCATAATCAATTTCAAGACTAATGAAAGTCTATTATCAAGAGCTTACTTCCAAGCATGTTAGATCGTATACATGATTTAAAAATGCTCTCACTTACTTCCACGCATGTTGGATCGCATACATGATTTAACGCTCAATCATCAATAACCCAAAAAACTTGGCTTCCATCTTGAGGGCACGAAATTTGTGTTCCTTACCTACGAGATGGAAGACAAGTTTTATCAGGATCACTTGATCAAGATTTGGCAAGTTAAATATGCACTCCAAACCTTAGGCACAATGGATGAGTCACATACACACGCTCTTGAGTCACTAGATGCACAACCCCCAAGCTTTGTGCTCAACCTTGGGCCTACACTTGATTAACAACGCCTCGAGGCTGAAGCTCCCACCTTAATTCACGAGAGGTCTTGACCTAATGTGTTTTTGAAACAACGATGACACTCTTGACCTTAAGTTGCTATCTTGATAGAAGTGATTGAAGCTCTCAAACCCCAAGTCTCAAATTAGCAACTGATTAGACCATTAAGCTACACATTTGAGCTTTGTCCTTGCATACACTCTTGAGCTTTGTCCATACATACAAGCATGCCAATTACGCCATTGAGCTTTGCACTCACCTACACTCTTGAGCTTTATCCATATCCCAACCCTGATTCATGAAAGGTCATGACCTATTGTGTTTTGAAAACAATGAAGATGCTCTTGACCTAAAATCACTAAGTGATCAAAGCTCTCAAACTCTAGGTCTCGACTTAATGATTGATTAGACCACCAAGCTACATCAGTACATCTTTGAGCTTATCTACACTCTCGAGCTTTGTCCCTCTACATGCATACATGCTAACTACACCTTTAAACTTTGTGCCAACTTACACTTATCCATACATATATATATACATGTTAACCACGTGTCTTGAATGCCGAGACCATGGGACTTTGAGAGAAATAGTGATTGGGATGTTTCACTTCATATTTCCTTGAATGGAATACAAACTTTGGCCTTTGACCTCAAGGTCCATGATTTAAATATATGCTTGGATATCTACATTGCATTCATTGATAGTAAAAAAAGGTTTGAATGTCTTGAACTCATGACCAGAATTAAGAATTAAGGTTGCTGATGAAAATAAAGTCCTTAGAGACATCTTGACATGTTTACCTTACCGGAAATATGATCTTCATAGACGTCTTAACCAAGAGGACCTTAATAAAATGTTGACTATAATATCTCAACTATGGTGCGATCAGTTGACTTGGGCAATACATTCAAAAACAGAAACCCTTAGATCTTATCCACATGGAAACTATAATACTTGGTGACCAAGAAAATTGATTCCATTCCAAACAGGTTATGCTCTCTTTTTCTCTCCGTGGTTACGTGATATCACACGTATACGGTCGCTAATGAAAATCGGAGAGAGAGAGAGAGAAGTCAGAGTTTACAACTTAGGATTATGAAGTGTGGACAGAGACACGTGAGCTTTAAAGAGAGAAGCAAATCAATAATATTTTGGGCTTTGATTAATCTACAAGCCCATTTTTCTCAACGAGTTATAAATGATTCCTTGATAATCTAATTCTAGGCAGGTAGAACTAGCAAAATTTCAAGGCAATGAAGGGTATGTTCTTTTTTGGTTGGAATTCTAAAGTTGGATACCCGAAAACTGGAAGGAGTTGGGAAAACTAGGAGTTGAAAATTATTGGGAAAATGAAAGTATTAAAAAATCACTTTAATTAAATAGTCACCCAAGATTTTAGGTGCAGGCTCCACTTTTTGCCATCAATCTGCGACTAAAGTCCAATTTATCTATTCTAATGAACCGTATGGCCGAGTTTGAGAGGACTCTTGGAGATAAGGCTCGTCTTTTATTTTAATTAATAATATATATTAAAATCTCAAAACAAAATATTTGAGCTATTCTGAATTTAAAATAATGTGTCAAATCTAAAAAAGTTCAATTGTTTGCCTTTGGAGTGAACCAACTTCCAAAAGGAAATGGCCAAGAGTCATTTCCCATTTTAGGACACGAGTATGATGTATTTTCAACCTTTTTCTACTCGCCACCCAATGGGAATAGAAAAAATTGGTTGTGTGGTTATTTAACTCTTTTTATCATATCTTATACTTTCTTCTGTCCTAAAAACATAGGAGTTATTGATTTTTAAGAGATTTAGAAAAAAGTGTATTTTGATATTGAATTTCAAAAAAAGTTCTTTGATGTGATGGATAAAAGTAAGATTTGTTGGGTACATTATTAATAAAAAGGTATGATGTGATAGGTCGGATATAAAAAAGTAAGGAGTAAAATTGACTTTTTAATAGAAATAAGAAGTATTTTTTGGAACGCATGAAAAAAGAAAGGAAAAGATTTTTAGGAACGGAGGGAGTACATGGTAAGTTTAAAATTTGTGATTGCTACTGTATTTTTATTATGACTATTCAATTATTTTCTTACGGAGTAAATTTTAATATGAACCTAGTGTAAATGTTTGATGGTTTTCTTAATGTTCCTACTCCCCTTCATTCCTCTTTAACTATTTCTCTGATATATTGAAAAATAAATAAATGTGGGCATAAAATATATTTACATTCATTCATTATTTAATGTATAAAAAGTCATAATGGTCAATTAAAAAATATGCAAAAAATATTATAAACGCTTAATACTCAATTTTTTATCTAAAAAATGTCGATATTTTTGTTTCTTTCAAAATGTAATTTTGAAATATCATGCGCTTATTTTGTGTGGGTACGGCACGAAGTATAAAATATAAATAGAGTGCATCTTCAAAAAGCGGGCCAATGCATAAGGCCTCTAAATATATTATGCCACCCATCTTTACTCTTTTTTAAGGCTAATAATCTGGCCTCTGAATATAGGGTAGGAGGTGTGTTCGAATCGGGGCGGGGTGGGGGTTTACCGGGGGTTAGGGGAAGTTGGAACCGTCAATTTTACAAACGGGACACCGGAGCGGCCCCGGGTCGTCCCATGACATTGGGTTCCAATGTCATGGGAACCCCACCCCTAAATATATTATGCCCCCATCTTTAGTTTTTTTAACAATAATAACTTTATTACTCCATCCATTCTAAAATGTTTTTCTCATTTCTATTTATGAGATTTGGTTAACTTTATTTTCGATTCAATTTATTTGATTGTAGGTGTAAAACTTAAAAATAAAATTTATACATTTAAAAACTACATCAAAAGTTCTACAAAATAAGATATGACAAGACTATATTATTTTATTAAATAACTAACATAAATAAGTAAAAAAGTGATTAAGCTTTGACTATATAAATAGTAAATGGGAATACTCCGTAACATTTTAGGATAGGAGTACAATATATTTTCATTTTAAGACCAAATATTTATTTTTGAGCGGTACCTCTAAATTAATTAGATAAAGAAACATTTTGAAGATATATTATAAAATAAATCTAATAAAATTAATCTTGTATCAATATCTAATACAAATTTTATTGAATTGATAGTCAAAATTTATTAATTTTAATTGTAAAAAAATAAAATTGAATAAATAATCAGGGATGCAGGTACTATACTTAGAATGAGTAATTTATTAGTCCGCAGGTTCAACATTTCAACGTTTTTTCCCCTCAACTATAAACATTTCACCTTTGTGTTCCTTTTTTTCTTTTTTTTTTGGGCGCTTAATGTGACATTGAGATTAAAACTTTCTATGATGTTCTGTTTGAAAAATTAATGGTTCCTACCACTTAAATATCGCTCAACCTCACCAATTTGTGACAAGAGGAGGCGGGGGATTCAATGTCACATGAATCGGGGTGTTTTTTTGTTTTAACTTAATTCATTTTTATTCATGCAAGTATGCAACGAACTACCAATATATAACATGACCGTTGAAGAGTTGCGATTAGGTGAAATGCTCCCTTTGGATCTTTTTTTAAAGTGGTCCCCGGTGATTAAAAAATCAACAGGAACCCCTAAATTAACGGTGGATCTTAAACGATTGAAAACTTTCCCAATCTGTAATGCGAAACATGGGAATAGAATTACCTGAATCTGGAGCCGTCGCTTGAACGCCGTGCCATTTTTGTGCGACCGGATTTCATCTAAAAGAGCAATCAACGGCTCTGATTTATCTGCGCCCCCTCCTTTTATGACGATGGCGGGAGCCCGCGCGTCGCCGCCGCCGCCGGCCTGGGGCCGTTTCCGCCGCTTCTTCGTCAAGCTGGCGGAGCTTTCCACGTCACCTCCGTCCCTTGCCACGTCATTTGACACGTCGTCCCCGTTGCTTTTCTGACTCGTCGTCTTGGAAGCCTCGTGCCGGTTCGAACTATCCTTGCACGAGTCTTCCTCCCCGCCCGGTTTTTTCTGCGGATCCGGGTTTCCCCGAACCGGATCGGGTTTGCACCTGTCCTCCGTCTCCGTATTCTCCGCGGAATTAGACTCGTTCACCGACCGGTTCTCATGCTCGGGACTTCCGCCGGAGACGACCTCACCGGCTACCTCCTCCGACCTGTCTCTTCCGCCGCCGGTCGGCAAATCCTCCTTTCCGCCCTCCGCCAGATCTGATTCAATGACCGCCTCCCGTCTCTCCTCCCCGCTCCGCTCTCTCTCCTCCACCATCCGCTTCACCTTCAACTGCAAGGACCTGTCCAGATCAAATCTCAACGTCAGATCCGCAAACAGAGAAATTCTCCACGTAACAATAAAAATTCAAAAAATAAAAACAAAACAGAGATGTTTATTAACTGGATCGAGAGATCGTGGCGATGGACCTCTTGTCTGAGCTCGGCAACGCGGAGCTGCCGCAAGTCATCGAGCCACGGAATAACGACGTCTCCTCCGCCGCCGCCGTCCGCATCGTCAACCACCGCGTCGCCGTCGGTGAAGCGGCGTTGGAGGTCGCGGTACTTCTCCCTGCAAATTTGAGCGGTGAGGAGGGCGGGGAAGGGGCTCCTGCTCCGGAGCTCCATAGCCACAGCGTCCCAATCCTTGAGGCCATGGCGCTTGACGGAGAAAGCCAGTAAGAGCTCCTCCCAGGTACTCCATGTCGCCTTTTCAGGCGTCTCTGCAATCGTTGACATAACAATTACACCTTTTTTCTGGTCCTTAGATTTATGATCTATCAACAGTTTTCGCGATATGTACAGTTCTGTGAGAAATTTTCAACGACGTTCAAGTCCGATTTAGGGTTTATTCGCCTCTGGTTTGTCTGTCCTCGTCCTCTAAAAAAATTTGGATTTGAAGTTTCAATTTCATTGTGGGGTTTTTTTTATTATTTAAAACATTAAAAAGAAAAAGGGAGGAGAAGATAAATCGGCTGTTTGGGTTTAGCTTGGTGGGTTTTATACGTACAGCCATGGGCCTCTTGCCCTGATATTTGATCGGTTCACCAACGAGTAATAGTGACTCCATTCCAAATTAAGGGGTGTATTCATGTACTCCCCATTGGATTAAAGTTTACACTTTTTTTCCTCTATTTTAAATTAGATTATAATTTTAGAATTGCGAATTAAAATTTTGTATTATTTGAGATCATTTATTTAAATATTAGTATAAGAATAAAAAATAAAATTTAAAAAATTTAAAAACTAGGTTAAAAGTTGTATAAAAAAAGATTTGACAAGAGTATCTTATTTAGCTAAAAAATAAAGCACACACAAATAAAGAAAAATATCGAGAAGTGAAAGAAAATTATTGTAATCTATTGCTGAACGAATAGAGCATTTGGTTCGTGGAATTTGAAAGGAAAGAAAATTAATGTTTTCTCTTTTTCTACACTAAAATGGAATGAAATCTCTTTCCTTTCTCCTTTAAGTTCACATCTTCTTATATTTACTTTTTCTTTTTTTCTTTCTTTTTAACCAAATAACAAAAATTCTCTTATTCTCTTTTCCCTACAAGTTTCTTGAACCAACATGGTGCTAATACTTTTTTGGGGTTTCAAAAGCCCATGAGTATTCAATTGAAATTTTAAAAGTTATTTAAAATCTTAATGCAAATGATTGAATGAGACCTTGCTCGACCCTTGAAGTGACTCTGTATCGACTAAATTGTAATACGCTCATCTAAGTACATGCATAACACCCAGGACAGATCTTTTATCAATCTAAGGATAGAAGGATAGAGTAATATGAACCTAAAAAAACACGAAGATGAGCGACAAGTTCTCGAACAAATAGCGGGAGAAGCATGTTGAGCCTAATTAAATAGAGAGTTCTTTAATATTTACTTTAAGAAGAACGAGAAGTTCATTTTGAGCAAGAGTGGTGATTCCGTGCATCCAAAGCACACGCCGAATTCCTAGACCTTCTCACAAAACTATTTGGGCCTAGAAGCTAATGAGGAAAAAGGCTCATTTCGCTCAAGCTAATGTGCCTAATTCTAATACTCTAATCTTAATCTTAATCCTAATTTCTTAATCATACTCATAATTTTAATATTAATCCTCAAATCATAATCCTAACCCCCTAATCATAATTTTAATCTTAATCTAAACCTAATTATAATCCCAATACTAATAGGAAGGATTCCACGTCAATAAGGTCCATATATTTGGACCATATCTGAGGATTATGAAAGTGTTTACATTAAAACAAACCATCATGAAAATTGGAAAATTTATTTTTGAATGATACGAATAAGTTTTTGAGATGATTCATCCATCCTAAATATTTAAGTACAACTAAAAATGTTCATAGCCCAAAATAGAGTTTTCAATATTTTACTACCAAGTACCAAACATGACTCCCATTACAATGCTAATTACTACCAATACATAATGTAAAAACATACCGTGAAATCTCTGACAATTTGTGTATGGTCCATGATGGACTTTCGTATAAATGCAAATAAGATTTTATTTTATTGAGATAGGTATTTATAAATCATCGGGCCTTAGGCCTAGGAAAAAATTCTCGAATTACCAACACACAATGTTATTGGTGACATTTCATAGTATATACCAACACTTATATTTAGAGTCGCTAAAAAAGACTTATTTGAGAGATAAAAATATAAGGAGTATTAGTTTATTTTGGTATAAATGTCGTATTTTAATCTTAGGACTTATTCTTCCTATTATTTACTCCGTCCACCTAGATTTAATATTCTAGTTGATGGTGTATATTAACCACTCAGTCAAACTGTTCTAGATCGGGTCTAAGATAGCTTGCTAATTAAGTTCAAAAAATGAAAAGTGCAAAAGACAAGAGATTACTGGGAGGACTGTCGTAGGTGGAAATATATATAGTCCAATTGTTATTAAGTATATATGTGAGAGTACATAAAAGAATTAGAAAAATATACTCTGCGGAGATAAAGTTCGAATCCCAAATATTGAGAGTTGCATGTATATTTATAGTGTTGGGGGGGGGGGGACAAGGCGTCGTCCACCCGGCCGCCCCTATTCAGCCATGTGATGAGGTGACTCATCTTTGTCTTGTAGTGTTTGTCCTTTTCTTAGATTGATATCTCGATGTGTTTTATCTTGTAGCTTTTGGACGCACTAGTCGGTGCAAAGCGTCTGATCCCTTCCAAGCGCTACCTTCTAAAATATGCCAAGCTGAAAATCCGTGTAACTCTTGATAAGATATTTAGATGATCTTATCCGATAGATCACCCAGGTGGTCAATGTATTCTCCCTTTGCCTGGACTTGCCTTATGACTGATAAATGAAGTGTCTGAATCCCACCCGGATGAATCCTTGTAATACATACCCAGTCAAATTTACAAGTACTGATTTCATCCTATAATGTTGTTTCCTTGATCCACTTGGTGAGTCTTCGTATTGTGGGCCCAGTATATATGTATTCTGGGTGGGAATTCACCCATCATCCGTTTTAAATTTTTCTCATTTTTTTGGTTATATGATACAATTATCCAAAATACATTTACTAAGGAATGCTTAAACATGAAGACTAAGAGATTAAGTTCGAACGGAGAAAAAAGGGACATACTTGCATATGAGAAAAGACAAGTATGTCCCTTTTTGGCCTACTCCATAGACAATTATATACGGAGTATGCTATTTATACTCCATAGATTTCATACCTCTCATCCCAATTTGGCCTACTTTCGAAAAATGTCTCAAAACATTCAAAAATTATGTGGAATGCGCTTGCCAAGATTGACAATAGTCGAACCTCTTGGATGTTACGAGCCGCTTGTGTCTATTTTGTTCCGACTTGGACAAGAGGAAGATATTCAATGGAAGTGATTTTTCATGATGAACATGTATAGTATTCATAATTTTTTTAATATTTGATTATATGTTATTATGTTAATTTAATTTTATCATTTTCTTT